TATAGGATACACTAAGTCTTCTCAGAATACTGTGTCTTCACCACTCGTTGCCTAGTGACGAATCCCAACAACGTATTCTGCTTCCGTGCTTACTTCCTTACCGGCTGACTACTGTCTCACAAATAACTCATGCTCTAACTGTCGACTATCAAAAAACTGACTCTCACTAACTGCTCTGTTTAGAACATCTCAACACGGACATCACAGAAGACACTGTTCCTTTTTCGTTGTTTCTAACTCCTGCCGTGCAGTCTTGCTTGTATGCGAGTAACGGTTTTTGTATAGCTGATTCTTTCGCGGTCGTTGCTTAGCAATGGTTATAAATGCCGCAGTATTAATTATCTGTAGATAAACAATGTGACTGCACTCATTAATCATGAATCAAACCAATTAAAAGCACAGACAGGATATAAATATATCGAACGTAAGACTCATCTACGTACAGGGTTACTATAAGTGATTCATTCGTTTTTAAAATGCTATATTTTCGAAAGTATTATACATAAAAATATGATTCATATATAAAAGTAACTGTAAACTCACCAAGTTTGTATTATATGCAATAGCTAGCAGGAGTTCAGTGCCTTTACAAAATGGCGACAAAAAAAGAAAAGAGCTGTTGTTTATTGGAATATGCGAGATGTTCGTCTGTTATAGCAGTGCAACGCGCATTCAAAAGAGAGTATGGAAAAGAACCGCCATGTAAACAAAGCATTTTGCGGTGGTATCGGCTACCTAAACAATGAACTTCGGCATCGCTGGATTGGGCGTGTTGGTGAGGATGACGTAGCTCTGTTCACTTGGCCCCCAAGATCACCTGATCTAACGCCTTGTGACTTCTTCCTTTTGGGGTACATGAAGGATCGTGTTTACGTACCCCCACTGCCAAGAACACTAGTAGAGCTGAGGGAACGCAACGATGCTGCAGTGATGACCATTGACAGGATGATGCTATAAAATGTGTGGAACGAGCTCGACTACCGCCTGGACGTGTGTCGTGTGACCCAAGGGGAACACATAGAACATTTGTAGAGTGTGAAGAAAACTTGGTGAGGTTACGGTTCTTTTTATATATTAATCACATTTGTACATGCAATGCTTTGGAAAATAAAGCGTTTTATAAACGAATGAATCATTTATAATAGCCCAGTATAAGCCCAGATATTCTCAGTGGAAGTTTATGTTCGTTTACGGCAGGTAGTCAACAGCTGTTACTAATTGCAGCGGACAGTCACGTGTGTTGTTCTTACACAAAATGCGAGAAGAGATCGCATATGTGGGGGAACATATCCATCCTATGTTCGCATCATAAAACTCCGAAACACTCAACGGATTGTGATAAAATTTAGTATCGGAATTTACAATGGAATTTATTACATTTTAATAACTATATTTAATATTGATCCAATATAATCCTTAATTTACTTTAACGTCCTATTTTAATAACATCGTAAGGTACAAAGATGTCATTAAATATCGGAGGAATTTCCTAATTATCACCATACAGAATAATTGCTATATGGAAATTAACGATTACTCAGTCAACAAATTCTTCTTTTCACGGAAACAGAACTTTTATTACCGTGTTTAGAAGACCATGCATCCTATACAATCCGCATCCTCAGACTTAATTTATTTAAGATCTGTTTAATATTATCCTGATATTTACAACTTTGCTCCCCCCCTTACTGAAATGAAGATTACCAGCTTTTGTTTGAAAAGGTCTTAATAAGCACTTAGAGGCATGAAAGGGAAACTACGTAATCCCCTGACTCAGGGCAGCGCCAACGGCTGCGACCTGAGACGTGAAGAAGTGACACGAAGCTAAGGTTCATTTAACTTTCTGTTGCTGAAGAAAATGGCCATGATAATTGTGTTGTGAAGGCAAGGTTAAAGGGAGAAATAAGTAACTGGAAAATTATAAATGGTAACTCGAATGGATGATAGCAGTAAGTTTCACCGACTCAATATCCAGACTTCCCAAGATTCGGTAAATATTTATTAATCATTCAGCATTTAAGTAGCCCTTACACCTTACTGATGGCTATAGGCGACAGGAACCAAATGTAGACCAAATAAAGAGGACTAAGGATATAAATTTTAAAATTTATTTAAGACAATCGACACAAGATTTTAATCAGAGGTTACACATTTTAATGACACTAAAAATAAATTAACTTCGATTGTCCTATTACAAGATTTTATCGAAGATAAATGAAATAGAAAGTAATTTTGGTGGTAATTCAGCAAACGAAGGTTTTCTGTATGAAGGAAACTTATCCGGTAATCGTCAGACATGGGAACATTATTGTACATGTATATAAATAAGTTATGTTCATGCAGATATTGTAGAAATAATTATCATACTTGTGCGGTATTTATAGAGAGTGTTATGTTGATCTGAGATTTCCACAGAGGTTCCTGTTGCTAGATTCTGGGACTACATGAAGTTACATCCCAGAAGACAGAATTTTAAATTTATTTTCTTAATTCACCTTGAAGGCAGAGAGAGTAATTTCCTCCGAAACATTAGTAACTTTGTACCATATCAAACTAAGTTGCGTCAAAACCCATAAAAGAGCAATCTTAATTTATTTTAAAAATATGTAACATTCCTTTCGAATTTCTGAGAGTTCAGCTGAATATCTTTTTGTATCTGTCCTATTACTTACTTAATCCGTTCTTCTTATACCTTAAGGTGTCGATGTCGTTGTTGTTGTTTTTTTCATTTTGATCATTTTACAGGCGGTAGAACTCCTTGGACGAGTGATCAGATCGTCACAAGGCCTCTACCTAAAAAAACACAGGACAACATAAACACAAAACAAACACACACACATACCAAATATCCATGGCTTCTGTGAGATTCGAACCTATGGTAAAATAGACAAGAATCTATGCTGCCCTTTAATATTAATTGTTGACAAGAGTTAAATATCTTGATCCTAGGACTGGGACGATCATATCTATATTTGACGCGTGAAATTCTGGCACTGTAACGATACTAAAGAATTGCTTCAACAATCTGCTGCTCAGAATAATTTTTATCTGTCTGTTAAGACAGTGTGGGGGATAAACCTCTGTGAGATATTGTTAGCGTGCAATTTTCCCTGTTTTATCTCGTAGAACCTGTTGTCAGTTGATAGTCCCCACATGCAGGCCCAGTAAAGGAGACAGATAACCACCATATTCCACGAAACATAACTGATCAGTTGGTTGATGTCAGTACAGACCAGAAGGTCCAAAACTGTGGATAGCGTACCTTGCATAATAATATAATTTGAGACCACATTCACGGTGTGCCATACGGGCTAAGATGCTCCCTTTGTTCTTATTTCTGCAGCTCTTCCAGTAACGTTTAAGACACAATGTTAATCCATTTTCCAATGCGTGTGCTTCGTTTCGACAAATTTCCTTTTCATCGTTAATAAATCTAATTTTCTCCTATATGAAAAGAGAAGAAAACGTACAAGGAAAGCAGATGACCTTAAAAACATACGAAACAAATGGGGAATGCAATGTATGTCATCGCTATGAAATCAATCCTGCATATCTCGAATGGAAGGTTTCACCCTTTAGGAACCAGAATGAAGTGGTATGAATATGCCACAATACGAACTACTGGTCACCTGTTGTAACATGATCACTGATTGTCGACTCAGTAAACGGCCTTTCAGTAAACGGCCTTTCAGTCGAAGTGTATATGATGATATTTCACGCCCAGGGACAGCATGAGTTCAGTACAGGCCTACGGCGAGTTTCCTTCAAGAGAAGTGAGCTAGAAGTCCGCCTGACTTAGCAGGAAGTTCGTAGTTCTGACTTCCGCTACAGTCTGTGCTTGGAAAAGAAAACCCATGTAGAAACAGATTAGCTTCAAAAAGAAATATCTGCAAAATCAAATATCTAAACTTTCTTAAATAAAGCAACAGCCGAATAGGGTTCGCGTATTTAATGCCGGACTGCTGGCTAGAAGTCACTTTGCATCCGGAAGGTCCTGCGACCGGCCAAGTAATTCAAAGTTTTCCGTGGTTTTGCTGGATCCTAGAGCAAATTCTGAGTTGGTACTCAAATTGCATGTTGCATTGCATGCTTCACATGCAGCCCTCCAAATGGTAACGTAAAAATGTCGCCCTAATCTATCCCTTCCAATGGAGATTTTTTTCACTATAAATTTACGTTACTGGAAAATAAAAACTATCCCTTTAAAAGGCCGTGGAAGCCCATAAGGTTGTGAGAAGTCGAGGTTCCCACATATTCTAGACAATCGGCTCACAGATGGCGCTGAAGTCAGCCACACGAGCCGGCCGCAAGTTTACAAAGCACGAAGTCTCCCGGTAATCATTTCTGTTATAGGCTGAGTCGACCTCAGGGCCATAGTGCGCCTGAAAGGATTGGGTCAAATGAAAAATCCGATGATCTCATCGGGAGTCGAACCCGCGACCTTTCGCCCGGTAGCATAGTGTCTCAACCAACTACGCTACCGCGTGCACCCTAACTTTACTGGTCCATTCATTCATCAATGGCACTACAGCCCTTTGTTGGGTCCTGGCCTCTTCTTCTGTTTCGTAATCTTACTTACACAGACGGCAGGACTCCTTGGACGGGTGATCAGCCTGTCACAAGGGCGCTACCTACACACAACATAAACACAGAATAAACACATACATCCATGTTTTTGAGCGGGATTCGAACCCACGATTCCAGCGTTCGAGCGAGCGAAGACAGTTCATGCCCTAGATCGAGCGGCCTCTGTGATCGGCTACGTTGCTGGTAGCACGTATTAAATTAGAATTAATTCATACAACTTAATTAGTACATACGTTCATTCTGTCCGCAGGAAGTTCGATAAGTGATAATCGACGTTCACTGGCACCTAACACCTTCAAGAAAGTAACAGACAAAGAAAAAGATAAAGAAATCGATAAGATTTCACTGCGTTAGACTGATTATCAGTTTCGTTCGACATATCAAAAGACGTGCATTAGTGAGTGTTTCTCTACTTTTATTGCGGATATGAAAGTGAAGAATTTAGTTCTCCTGTTCGCCATCACCCAGCTCCATTCATTTTCTGTGAGTACAAAACACAGTTCCTCAGAAAACTAGAAATACAGACGAATTTTAGTTGGAAAGACTCACGTAAGGGGAGCCATTCGTGATACCAAGATCCCGGTGGGAAAGGAATTACATGGCTGCGTTATATCCACTCATAAGGCAATAAATTATGCTTTAAATTGTACTGTTGTGTCAGGAATAGTGGGTCTCTGGACTTTGTCTATAGACCGAAAGTTTAATGAACATCAAAAAATAAAACGTTTCGAAAACTGAGTCTGTTTCTGTCTTCAGGTAAAAGGGTGGGAGACACCAACTCTGTTGGGTCCGTTAGAAAAAGCTAACCTCAATCACTAGAGCAGCGATTGGGATTATAACTTTCTAATGGACGCTAAGAAGTAGGTGTGCAATGTGGACTACACTGAAATTCCTCCGGGTGGATCCAGTTGTAAACTTGTGTTGGCGTTGGGATTCAAGGACAAAAGATCGAATAGTATGCTGTCTAGATCAGAAAAGTTTCCACTTATTTTGTCCGCACACTAACCGAATTGGGTCCACCTCAGTGAAATTTCGTAAAGACAGGCATAAATGTTCTACATAAAATTTCCATATAAACTGTGTATGAAACAATTTTTAGGTTGTGGATCTTCATCAGATAATGATGAAAATTATTACAACATTACTACATCTACTTACAACGCACGCTGAGAACTAAAATCTCCATGCAGCATATCTCATGTGGTATGAGGTACTCTCAAAGATATTGTAGCACCTAGATCCGTTGTTAAGCAATGACTCTGTAAACAACAGCCGCTTCTAAATAATGGCCACGAACAGATTCTTAACACGCACCAGTGGACTAAATGTGAAGTGGTGTTCTCAATGCAGTCCGTGGGACAGTTGCGTGAAGCAACAAATAGGACTGTTGGAAGCAGTGTTTTCTGTGCGGTCCGTGCTGAGGTGTTATATGCGGGACAAGTCTGCAGTTAAGTTACTTTGAAGACAATGGACGGCCAGTAAGTGCATGTACACGGAAGCTGAGGAAGCTGCGGCGTTGGAAACCGTTACCGGACGGCAACCAATGAAGATACAGTGCGTGCTATAGTGAACTGCTGAATGTGTGAATGAGAGATAACGCTGTAGTTACTTGTAGTTACGATCTGTAAGTGGTCAATACATCCAATTACCAATCCAAACAACGTCTATATTCACTCTATCACGTGACAACTGATGTCACAAGTAGGATAGGACTGATTGAATGACTGGCCCAAAATCGACCGTTATATCGCCATATTATGGAGGTGGAACGAATGATAACACGCCTACTGGCTGAAATAAGAACCAACCCAGAAGAAGTGAGAGCCGGCCAAGAACACTTGAAAGAAAATTCTGGAACCGGCCAAGAACTCCTGAAAGAAGAAATGATGGCCAAGTTAAAAGCCCATAATGGTCAAGACCGACTTCCAGCTAGAGACAATGGAGACCGCTCTGGATATATCCAGAAAGTTTCAACAAACTGAATACCACGGATGTGGAGACCAATTGAGAAAATTCGGAGGCCCTAGAGGAGTAACAGGACGCCCCTAAGGCAGAGACCACTGTGAAAAACATCGGAGCACCGAAGGACCGATATGGGGACCGGCATCTAGCCAAAGATTGCATCCGACAGCCGAAGAAACGGACCCAGTGCGATGGTGGGTCCCATCAAAAGTTGGCCGCTGCCCGAGGAAGGTTAGACACGCCGTGCCGTTCCTGCACCGAGCAAGGGACTCGTCAGGAACCAGGAAGGCTTCCTGGTCTGTTCCCATTCAGAATTAATTATGAAATTATGAATCTTGTATTCATTTGGTAGAATTCCTTGAATGGGTGATTAGACTGTCGCATCCCGCCACCTACACAGGATAACAGAAACGCAGACATGCATCCATGCCTCGAGTGGGATTCGAACCCACGATATCAGTGTTTGAGCGTTGAAGACATTTCGTGCCTCAGCCCCCGCGGGCACTGTGATTGGTGGATATTTTCTCATTTAATTATAAATTCCAAAAAAAAAAGAAGAAGAAGAAGAAGCAGAAAAGAAAACTGCGAAATGTGCTACTTATAAATTCGTGTCACCTGAGGAAGGCGCTAGAATCGCTCTGGCCTCTGTCTTAAACCCAAGTAAAATTAGTGAAACATGAGTAGGGAGCCTCGTACAACAGTATTTTCCCAAGTAGCAGGGCCATTTCCTCAAAATCTCACAAAGAACTCAGATACTCGTAAATTTAATTTCACTCCTTTGTGTAAAGCGGCACTTAAATGAGCCAACCTAAAAGAAAATAATTAATTATATTGTTGAAGAAAGTCGTCTTCTGGGTTTAGGCGCCGTGTATTCTTCGTTTTGGCCGACGTTTCGGAGGAACGTATCGCCTCCATCCTCAGAGCAGTTGAATGGCTTGGAATGCAGAGAGTAGAGCTGGAGGCGATACGTTCCTCCGAAACTTCGGCCAAAACGAAGAATACACGGCGCCTACACCCAGAAGACGACTTTCTTCATAGTCATCGCCGTGAAAACCTCAAAACTTGCAATTCTATTGTTGGCCTACCATACCGAGTTTGATCGAAGTCGGTTAAGCAGATTGGGCGGAGATACTAGAGGACATAAAGAAGACATTTGTTTCAGACTGTCAAGGTCATTCACTCACCTCCCAGTGTAATCCATTCCTTTTCTTCTGAAACTGGCCTTCACAGGGCAGTAGAATGGCCAGCCAAAATATGGGGTTGGTGGAAGCCTTCGGCCTTATGCCCTGAGTTTATGCCTGGCAGTGCTAGTTGGTGTTTTTGTCCTGAGCAGTTCAGTGCATGCAGTACTGTGTTGTGATATTTTGCCATTTAGCCAAGGAAAATGAGTTAAGAGCACTCTCTTCTGGGATATGACGCCGTGTAGTCCGTTGAAAATCAACTAAAGTTTCGGAAGAACATATCGCCTCCATCTTCATGGTCGTAGATTAAGGCCAACATTGCCGACTGCTTTCATGATAGTTTCTTGCTGGGCTTATTCTTCGACTATGAATATGGAGATATGTTCCTTCGAAACGTCGGTTGATTTTCGACGGCCTACACAACGTTATATCCCAGAAGATAAAACCCTTCTTAACCACTGCTGTGAGAATCTCAATTCCTGTAAGACAATGAGTGGTTTGATACATAACAATGCAAAGATAGAAGGGCTAAAGCTATCCCTGTAACAGGCCGTGGAGGCCCATAGGGTTGTGAGACGTTGAGGGTCCCACATTATCTAGACATTCGGTTCACAGATGGCGGTAAGGTTGTCAGCCTTACGCGCCGGCCGCAAGAAAATTCCTGGTACTCATTTCCTTTAGAGGCTGAGTGGACCCCAGGGCCATAGTGCGGAGAATTATACATATACAAGGTGTGGCAATAAAGAACCCGGATTACTTTTATGACTCATTTCCGGCCACGTCATTGACGAAGAGGAGGGTAGGGCATTGACCCTTGGACTTCCCTCTACCGTCACACAAAGTTTCATTCACGTGCATCGGTTAGTCTGGCCGCGACCATTGTTAGAAGCGGATCGTGTTTCTGAGCTCCGTCGGAATAATGCTGAGTGCTAATGCAGAACAACGTGCTAACATCAAATTCCTCACAAAANGTGCGGAGAATTATACATATACTTGTACAGTGCATGGCAGCGACGCAAAGGACGGAGACGAAAAAACATCTGAAAGTTCGCTGCGGAAGCTTGACAACACTTCTCGGCTGTGCTCTATACTGCATGACCCGACTGGAACCTTCCCAACCCACGCTCCCCATACTGTTGCATAGCGTGCTTCAGACTTCGAGGGAAATGGACCGGACGATCTACGGGACTGCCCCTCGCTATCTCGCTACAGGTACCCTCAGGGAGGAAAGAAAATATAGAGGGGCGTTTGAAGGGGTGATGACTTAGGCTGGCCAATAGAAATATCCTAACTAGTATAGTACAGTGGTAAAAGTCAAAGTTTTCCGTGTACTTAACTAATTAAGCTCTACGTCATGAAGGTGTATGGGCGAGTGGATTTATAGAGCCACATTTTCTTGACTTCGGCACTAGTTGGAGGTGAGTGGTCAGCTTCACGAACCGGCCGCTTTACTCGCGGGCAAAAATCCCCCGGTACCCATTGGACAGGAGGTTGGGTGGACCCCATAGACAGTCTTAACTATTTGGAGAAGAGATAATTATTTACTCTACCGCGTCTCGAACTCCGACTCCTAGGTCGTCCAGGCGATAGCTAGTCACTATGCTGATTCCGCTATCCCGGCTCCTATAGAGGAGTGGAAGGACCTCAGTTTTACAATTATTGACTTTTTGGACACTATTCATTCTCCTTTTTTTTTCATTAAAAATAACGTTTCGGAGGCTCGACTCTGTAACCGTTCTCAGGCAAAAGCCAACTCAGCTAGTTCCTACCGACAGGAACTTGGATGGATGGATAATCTCCAGAAGTGTATTACTGTATCAATGTACCAACGTCAGAAATTTTTAGATCTGAATTCTTGGCTACAGTAGCCTTTACATCCAACTCAGATGGGAGAACAGTAGATGTTTGAAGACCGCTCTTGGATAACGGTACTTTAAAAACAAACTTTCGGTTATTCCTATGTAGGAGACTGTGAACTGGTTCATGATCTCTTCTAACAAAGATCTAAAAGTTTGTGATGACGGTAAATTGTTACAATCAATATGTTGCTGGACATTATCCATCATCTTGTCTGTTCTCAAAAAACCGTCTAGTTTCTATTAAAAACACAACCTTTCGGGAACTGGAATCTGTCCCCGTCTTCAGGTAAAACCTACTCAGTCGGGTCCAATAGACCGTAGATAGGGGCTAGCTCTGTCTATTGGACCCAACTGAGTAGGTTTTACCTGAAGACGGGGACAGATTCCAGTTCCCGAAACGTTGTGTTTTTAATAGAAACTAGACGGTTTTTTGAGAACAGACAAGATGATGGATAATGTCCAGCAACATATTTATTGTATCTCTTCTAACGACGAAAATTTTTATCAATGAAACTGAATTTCCTACTTATTCATAACCTACAAAACGGATTTTGAACAAGTCTCGAGGTATCGATAGATGTACGAGTATTTCTAATAATATATATATATTTCAGGCCTGTGAGGCATCGTCCGCAACGGAAGTGCTGTCGACCGTGGCATGGAGGCACTTTCCAGCGAGGGCTAGACACCCGTGTTGGGGGACGCCAGCTGCAGCAGACGAAGAAGTGTGCATAGTACGAAGCAACAGCTATAGTAAGACAATGTTCCAACACGTTTCGGGCTGCTATTGCTATTTCTACATGAACCCTGCTTTCTTCAAACCAAACATAACCATCCGGATGTGGCTGTGCGGTATACCAGACGAGTTCGGGTACCCCTGTATCCTGGTGAGTGTCATGCGGGCTATCTTATGCACTGTAGGTTAATTTACAGATGGATCAAACGAGTCCATTCAGATTGAATTAGGGAGGCAGGCCTACTCGGTGTGGTTCTCGACCGGGATACCCGACTCTCCTGACTGAGGTTTCTCGTGGTTTTCTTCAGTGCCTCCGAGATATACCTGAGATTTAGTCATGACCGCTTCCATCAATATTCTTTCCAGTTAATCATTTGCTAATCAAAATACACTTGTGTGTATTAGTGAATATAGACGGGGTTTGGATTGGTGAATAGATTTATTGACCACTTATAGTTCGTAACTACGAATAATTATTACACTATAGCCGATTTCCACACTATAATTCACTCAACACTAAGTTTTCTCACTCTATTTCCATTAGTCTTTTTTTCTTGATTCTTTTCACGCAAATCGTTTTGGAAAAACTTCTTTGAAGAGAAACAAGAATCTTTCGTGGTGCTCTCAAAACAAGTGACGAACTTTCTAACAAGTGCACAGTAGCAGAGAGCATCTGGCACTTGTTTTGTGGCATGAATCTTCAAATTAAGCGCCCTCTGTTATGGTTTTGTAATGATTTTGGCAAATAGTGTTTCATCGCATTTGTGTCATCGACTCTCTGACAGTATCTTGTCATACAACTTATAGCGAGCATTCATACTCATGTTTCAGCGAATTGCATGTACCTGGACTGCTGACACTCAAGTGTAAGAGAAACTCTCATTTGCGTTGTGATTGCAATTGTAGTCGTGCTTCATTCTTATTAAAATATCGACATGACAGTCCAGCAAGTGGACTAAAGGAAAGAAGATCTGTCATACGAGTAATTGCCACAACTGTCTTCAAGTTTTCTGGATTCCCGAAATCCTGACGAATATTTGGCACGACATTCTAGGGCACACAATGCGAAGACAACCGAAAGTCACAAGTTCACAATTTGTTTCATCTGGTATCCTTCATGCTTAATTCTCAGCTGTGCGACTTTTATTCCTGGAAGAAACTCTTGTTTTAGAATCTCGCCTGTCAAATAAACTTTTAATAATTTTCTTGGTTGGTCCCCCGCATGGCGTCGCATTGGCTGCTTTCAGTGGCGTGGCGGTCACGAGCCTGGCATGCTGCCCCAAGTCCGCAGGACATATTATTTCCAAAATAAATTCCCTGACCCATGTTACATCGGGTGTTCAATCGGAAGCCACTGGGGGTAGAACCGGTCACACGTAGGGATATGACGTGAAAATCAGCAGGGCTCCAGCGTATTGATATACACTCAACTCTCGATTATCCGGGATAATGGTGGGGATGGAAATCACGATTAATCGAAAACCCGGTTAAGACAAATTTTATTGAAAGTAGTACTGTAATACTGTACCTTCATAATACTATAGGCCTACCTGTATTTAAATTTATTCAACCTCATTTTTATGTCATCTCATGGCCTATTTAATACTTTTTTTACATTACACTGAAGTATGAATTAGTTATTTCAATCACAGTCTTCAACAGCATCCAACACTTTTTACGAATATTCACACTTAACACTTAAAAAAATTTAATATTGTCATTTACTTTTTCGCGGCATTTGCCTTTTTCTGTTGAATACTTAACACAACACGCTGCCTTTTACACCCTGACATTTTGCTAACGCACCTGAAGATCGATACAAAGATACTAACTGGGGCGATGTATCTGTCCTTGAAACTTTCCACAAATCCTTGCATTCTTTCACCCCTACCCTAGAACATTGTGTTAGCATAACGGGAGCAAAGAATGCAGAGCTCGGTTCACACTAGTGCGAAAATAGTGTTACAACTCGCCATGTGAAACAAAAGTGAATGAATATTAAACAACATATAAGCCTCAAAAAAGCCTCAGTAGCCCCGGTTAAGCCGCAAACCGGTTAATCCGCCCCCGATAATCGAGAGTTGACTGTATCTCGTATTTTCGAAATTCTTGACAAGAAGAAGAAGAAGAAAAAAGGAACTGTATATATTTCAGAAAATTTGTTGTGATCTGTTTCCGTCCTCAGGTAAAGGGGAAAGACACCCACTCAGTTGAGCCCCTTAGAAAGGACTAATCTTAAACACTGGGGCCAAATTGAGTAGGTGTCTTCCCCCCTAAACTGAGGACGGAAACAAATCGATTTTCCGAAACATCGTGTTTTCTATTTTCTAGAATACCGGACGATGGCAAACTCCAAAAACCCAGTAATTCCGTTTGTTATACACCATCGTTAGTACCCTTTTTGTATTGCTAGTTGGGCGGGACTAAGTCCCTTGTACTGCGGTAACTTCTGGCCTATTGTACCAGCCCCAGATGATAGGTGAGGGTGATTGTGGACTATTTGGTGGAACGAAGATTGGCAGGGAAAACCGAAGTACTCGGAGAAAACCTGCCCCAGCGCCACTTTGTCCACCACAAATCCCACTTGACCAGACCCGGGATCGAATCCCAGCCGCCGCGACTAACCGCTTGAAGCAAAGTTCAACATTTTTCACTGATATAGCAGTATCATTCTACAACATGTACACAAATTATCAAGATACACCCAAGCCACACAAGAAATTAAATACGCGTCACATCAAGGAGAAGAGCCGTTGTGACGGAATCACATCTAGCGGTCTGGGAAAACCATTACAAAACAGCTAGACTCCTGCCATGTGGTCCCTGTACAAGTATTATCATGTTCAACGCCTTGGCCAAACACAAATCGAGAGATAAAATTAAGGACAACGTAATAGAATCTAACAACCGTAGGATATGTAATGAGAAACCAGACACTAATTAGCTACGTAAAAAGAGCTTCTCTAAGCTACTCGAGAACTGCGGGTTTTTTTATGGTACCTGAAATTTCATTGACAAATTCACAACGACCTATTAACCAAGAGCTATTAATAACATTACAATTGATATAAATTAATTTAATTGGCAGAATAAAATCGCATGGCAAAATGTCTAAGAGGTTATCAAGCTGTGTAATTACATATACTTTCATAGAAGCACATCAAACTTAATGCAAATAAACCTCTGTATCACTCCTTCAAAACAAACAAACAGAACTGCATTCAAAATCCATTCATCGTCAGAGGCAAATTAATTGTTTATAGTCTAACTAGCGATCGCCTCTGTGGTCTAGTGGTCAGAGTTCCTGGCTACAGATCCAGAGGTCCCGGGTTCGATTCCCAGCGCTACTAGGTTTTCTGAGAAGTATATGTTGCTCTCTCGTCACCAAAATGCAGGGAAAAATCATGACATAAAGATAGAAAAGAGATGTCTTGAATATGTGGCACAGTTAAGATATTTGGGAACAACAATAACAGATAAAAACCTGGTTCACGAGGAACTTAAGAGAAGATTGAACTCGGGTAATGCTTGCTACCATTCAGTCCAGAAACTTTTGTCTTCTTGTCTGCTGTCCAAAAACATACTAATTAAAATATACAAAACTATAATTTTGCCCGTGGTTCTGTATGGGCGTAAAACTTTGTCTCTGACATTAAGGGTGAACACTGAGGGTGTGTGAGAACAGGGTGTTGAGGAGAATATTTGGATCGAAGAGAGATGAAGTGAGAGGAGATTGGAGAAAACTGCATAATGAACTTCATAAATTGTACTCTTATCCAATCAAGTCAAGTCAAGGAGAATGAGGTGGGCAGGGCATATAGCACGAATGGGAAGACGAGGAATGCATATAGGCTATTGGTGGGAAAGCCAGCAGGAAAAAGACCACTGGGAAGACCAAGGCGTTGGTGGGTGAACAATATTAAATTGGTTCTTAGAGGTATAGGATGGGATGGTATGGATTGGATTGATCTGGCTCAGGATCGTGGTCAGTGGAGGGCCCTTGTGAACATGGTTATGAACCTTCGGGTTCCATAAACTGCTGGGAAATTCTTGAGTAGCTGCACAATTGGCGGCTCATCCAGAAGGGCTCAGCTCCATGAGTGAGTTAGTAAGAGAGCTTATCAGGCAGTATCTCAAAGTTAGTCTCAGGGCTTTCGAACAAGCGTCGGTAACCAGACGCGGAGCTTCCAGCGGACAAATAGTCTCTTCTCATTACTTCGACAATTGCAGATAAAATACAAGTTTCGTCACAGTCGTGTGTTTACCATCAGTATAATTGGCCAACAGCATTTCCCACAAAGTCTTCCGGAATAAATGGTACGAGTAAAATAGGTAAAGCTATCCATGTAACCGGCCATGGGGGCCCATTGGGACGTGAGACGTCGAAGCTCCCACATCTTCTAGAAAATCGACTCGCAGATTGCGTTAAGGATGTCAGCCTTACACTCCGGCCGCCCTTTGCTCCCCAGGAAAATTCTTGGTACTCATTTCTCAGTCGACCCCAGGGCCATTGTGCGGCTGGAAGAATTAAATCAATTGAAAAAATCCACTTCATCGGGACTCGAATCCTAGACTTTCCCGCTTGTAGCATAATGCCTCAACCAAATACACTACCGCGTGCGAATAAATGGTATGAAAGGTAACAAAAGTATCGTCATTCTTGCGTCATCCCAACAGAGAACACCACCCCCTCCACCTCTCAGATATACTCTGCAATAAAACTAGATGTACTTGTATGTTATTCCTTTCCTTATATTTTCAAGAGCAAAGGAGAACCAAGGCCTCTGGAACGGACATTCTCCTGAAACAGTAATGGCCTGTCACCCCTCTGGATGGATTTTGAAATTGGTAAAACCAGGTCAGGGTTATACAAAAACTGAAACATGAACTGTAGGAAAGCGAGAGAGGAAGATACAATGTCTGTGATTTATTGTACAAAAATGTGACTTACAGCTCAATTATTATATGTGTTCTTGAATTTCTTTCTTATTCCTAGATATAACGTCTGATTGTTTTTCTGTCTTGTTTATACGACTCTTTACTTTAGGTATGATTCCATTTACTATTCACCGTGACAGTGTTTCTGCTTGCTCCTTTTTCTCCCGATTTTAAAGGCGAACAAAATTCACAAAGAGAAACTGCCCGCGATTTCACTTTGTTCCCCCCATATTTAACTTTATCCCATATACAGGCAGAAGCGAAAAATGTGAAGAGGTTCCAGACAATATTAATACTTAAGCAATTATTGAAATGTATTCACTTTACGCAGCAAATTGTCGAAGCAAATTAACACTGCACTCAACTGATGTAGAAGTCTATACGCAGACATTTGACATTCAGTAACTGATCTGCTTTGTCCAGATCTTCCCTACTGACTGCTAGCCAGCAGTCCGGCAACTGGAGGACATGGAAGTTCCTAACTAAAGTGTTGTTGCTTTATTATTAAGAACGTAACACATTATTATAATAATACACGAGTTACAGCAACAAATTGAGGTTGAAACGGGCGAGAAAAGAACTTCCGCGGAAGATTCATTTTTAAAGTTTCTTTAGTGCCAAGTGGAGAATAGTTTGGATTCTGCCTACTTTATTGAACGTTTTAACGTTTCAATATGTTTGTTTGTTTGTTGTTTTCTCGTCCAATATCAAGGCCTTGTTCTTGCAGCGTTCTATCCAACTCTTATTTCCCTGGAACTTCCTTAAATATTTCGTGGACCCACCCACAGATAAAACAGTTGCTAGAGCGGTATTCAAGGGATATTTTTACTGAATAATTGTTTGGTTAGCGACTACCCATACTTAAGTGTGAATGTCGGGAAGCGGGCAGTGGCCACTTCCTTTCAAACGTTTAGCTACAAGGCGTCACACGCCTGAAGACAGGAATCTTCATACTCACTGCTGTGAATGCCTTACATGTCACAAAATGGCCGTAGCAATTTGATATGATTCGATATTTCCAGACATCAGAAGGCGCCGAGATACCGTACGACTACGAGAACCCCAAGACAGTGGAGGTTCTGGGTGGAACTTTTGTATCATCTGCCGCCACTGACAAATGGATACAGTGCTCTAAGGCAGCAAAGAGTTGCTGCGAAAATATGGATGAGGGAACCGTGAATCCAGGTACAGTATTTTGGTCCAGCTCCAGGCTTCAAAGCCTACACTGTCAATACTCGGATAAAGCTGCAGAAGCGTGAAGCTGGCTCCTCATGTCTACTTATTGCCTCGTTTGAGAATTATTGGAAATTTTACATCCACTCCAAAATATGTAATCATGGCGGTGTACTGAAACACATACGTATATAGTTTTATCGGGAGATAAAAAAATAGTGGTTGTGTTGGAGTTCACTATCGCTGTCTCAGCAAAGTAGTGGCTGCGTTTCGGGAGGCTCTGTCTTCAAATAAACAAAAGGAATCATATCGAATTTCGTATGATGATATTCCTCCACTCGAAGATTTCCACCAGCGGCCACCAGGGATCACCACGCATCCCCGAAAATTGTATTTTTTTAGTGCAATATTTCCTGGAAGATAGATTGGTAAGGGTGGTTCATTTCTGTGATTACCTAGAAGTCCTGATTTGAATTCTCTTGGTTTCTTCATTCGGGGCTGTGTGAAGAATGACGTTTCTAAGGACAATATTCGAGTCCTGAATCACTTGAAAGCAGGAATAAGATGAGCGGCTGAGCCACGGAGGGAGAAGAGTGGGGGTTTGTGTCCCGTCTGGGCTAAGAGAAACAGGCAACAGGCTGGATGCCAGTAAAATCGGGAAATTCGGAGCAATATTTGGATACTGTTACGCATTTCGAACTTCTGCAACCAAATAAACTTACTGAAGTCATGAACTTGTGTCAAGCAAAATCGAAAAACCTCGATATGGGTCGCAGGTACCAATCCCACAACAGTTCTGGGCATATTTAAAGAAATCACAAAGTGTGCACGCAGAAGCTGTAAGTCTAATAATGACACGAAAAAGGAAAAGAACAATGTTGTGTGCTTTCATAGGCCTCTTCAAGAAAAGGAAGTAAACTACCGAATTTACAACGTTAACCTCGAGGTGCTAAAAAATGTGCGCGAAATTTTGTATTAGGGGGGAAAAAACGTAAGACTATTAAAATGTTTGTATTTACTCTCCCACTCCACAAAACAAATATAATTACTGAAATTCTGGCATCAGTCACAGATGTCTCACCAAATGGCTCATCAGAAACATAACTTCTGAACTGTAAGCTTGGGAAAATGGAAGAAATTGAGCATCGAATATTCTGGAATGTTACTAGGTGCAGTAAGGTAGAAAATGTTATCAGGCTCTACGGCGACGCACGCCCGGAGACGATAATCTTCGTAGCCACCGCCATATGAATTTTAAATCTCAATTTAATTGTAGTTGTTGATGATATGATTCTAAAACATACAAGCCAGAAGGTCGCACTATGGCCCTAGGGTCGTCTCAGCCTCTAACAGAAATGAGTACCAGGAATTAAATAAATAATTTTCCTGGGGAGTAAAGCGCGGTCGGCGCGTAAGGCTGACATCCATACCGCCATCTTTGAGCCAGTTGTCTAGATCAGGGGTCTCCAAATTTTTCGAACCGCGGGCCACTTTCAACGGGCCAGATAGAATGAGAAATTAATAACTCTAGGTATATGAGTTTTATTGAAAGCACAGAATTTCATAAACTAAATACAAAGTACGTGAGAATAAATTAACGTATATTAATAACAGACAGTAGTAGTAAATGCTCATATTTTAATCACAAATTATAATAAAATAATTAATGTGAATGATGGAACTCTTTTTCATTCTTAAAATCTGATTAAATTGAGGTTCAAATTTTGAAATTCTAATCACAAGTAGCGACTTAAAATGTTCATCACGATAAATTTGCCCTGTATTTCGACTTCATCTGGGAAAAAATTTGTTCACACAGATATGTCGTCCCAAAAATGGAGATAAATTTACAAGCAAATTTCTTTAAATTTGGAAATTGCTCAGAGTTCAGAAATTTATAAAATTCGATCAAATTTCCTTCCTTGTATTTGTCTTTAATATGATAATTTTCCTGAAGTTCAATAATTTCCATTTGAATTTGACTTGGGACATCTGCAGCATCACAGTCAAACGGATTTTGAAACAATCTAATTTCCTGAGCACTGGCATCCAAATCAGCAAATCGCTTCCGAAATTGTTCTTTCAAATCTAAAATGACTAAATTTGCAAACGAGGAAGGAAATTCTGCTTCACCCTTTTTATGCAACTCTGAACAGTATAGCATATAAACAAAGTTACAATTTTTCACTTGGCTTTCCAGAAGTATCAACTTTGCTCTGAATGCCTTGATAAGTGCAAATAAATCACAGACTAAGTTATTTTCACCCTGCAACTTTAAATTCAAATGGTTCATATGGTTTACCAGATCAACAAAACTGATAATTTCCAAAGCCACTTGGTATCTGATAAAAGTGGTTCGTGATGGTTTTTCTCGGTAAGAAATATATCAATTTCATTCCTGAGCTGAAAGAAGCGCGAAATAACCTTTTCACAGCTGAGCCATCGAACTGCAGTATAATATGTCAGGTCAATAAGCTCGGAATCACATTTACCAGTACTCACTGGAAAATTAGTTCAATTGGCGCATTTCTGCACAATTCTTTCGCGGGCCAGATAAAATCACACCGCGGGCCGCATGTGACTCGCGGGGCGTAGTTTGGAGACCCCTGGTCTAGATAATGTGGGGCTCTCAACGTCTCACGACCCTATGGGTCGTCACGGCCTATTACAGGGATAGATTTACTCGTTCTTACTTATGGGTATATTTCAGTCTATTTAATTAACAACAGGATATCTAAACTGCAGCTGAAAGGCCACTACTTACACAGGACAACGCAATCACAGAATAAATGCAGACAACTATCTATGCCTTGAGTGGGATTGGAACCCACGATCAAAACTTTCAAGCGGGAGAAGACATTTCATGCCTTAGACCGCGCCATCATTTTGATCGGCCAGAGAAAATGAATAATTCTTTCAAAATTTTCTTGCAGATTAATTCACTTCTGCATATGCATATTGTTGTGTAACTTCCGAACGGTTATAACACGCAGACCTACACATAAGTAGCCCCAAAGTACTCAACATGCTGAACCGAACTGATACCGGTGCAAACGTATGCGAACCCTCTGTTTGGAGTCGATATTATTGAAGTGCATATCTAACTGAACAAGGACTCGCTCAGATATTTCTTACAGACATCCCCTTTCCCCATGCGAGCAAAATACGGCTTTCGATAATTCTGTTAACTTTCTGTAGCAGACCTGCAAGTATGTGTGACTTAAGTGTTCTGTAGCTCAACAATTCGTTCAGAATATATCATGGGTTTCGTTGAATCCTGTGAGAAATAGTGATCATTTTCGTTCAGACTAGTACCTGTACTGGAGAAAGGATGTTTTCATGGATGTAATGCAGTTTTTGTTAAACATAATGTAGACATCTTCTGTTTAGAGGACTATTCCTAATTTAATGATAATTTTATTATGAATTTGCGGCAAACGTGCAATTATCATTTCAAATTTGATTTTTGATTTTGAAAAAATAAATGTATTTTCAAAAAAGACATAGACAATGCCCATCCGGCCCTCTGTAGCACATCCTTATAAACACCTTATTCTATCAAAGCGATCGCCCGGCAATTTTTGAACATATCTATTAAATTAACTCTAAGAGTATACTACTAATATTTTTGTAGATTTACTTCCTCTTCAGTTTTTAAAAATAAATTTAGGAATTTTGTATATGAAGTGAAAGAGGCTTGCACAAATCATTTTCCTGTAGCTGACTTGTGTGTTCTTTTTTGTGCTGTTCTCAGACAAAGTTGTGGTTCGTGCTGCCATCTGACAGCAAATGATTACACTAAAACTATACCTCTTCCGGTCTCACGGGATATTTGACGTCTGCTTTCGGTAACGAAAACCATATAGATATTTTTTGAACAGGGTTTCTCAAATTGCACTACCGTTACCCATGGGGTTAGCGAAACAACTAATCAGGGTTACCGTTAAGTCCCAATTTCCAGCATCCCTACTGAAAACTATTACCCGTGGGTGTAATTTCTCTTTTAAATCAAGTCGAACAAGAGTTCTTATACAAATTTGTTCGTGGGAGCATGTGGTAGCGTAGTTGGTTGAGGCACTATGTTACAAGCCGGAAGGTCGCTGGATCGAATCCCGATGAGGTCATTGGATTTTTTCAATTTACCTAATCCTTCCAGCCGCACTATGGCCTTGGGTCGACTCAGCCTTTAACAGAAATGAGTACCAGGAATATTCTTGGATTGTTCCTGGGGGTAAAGAGCGGCCAGCGCGTAAGGCTGACAACCTTGCCGCCATCTATGAGCCGATTGTCTAGAAAATGTGGGAACCTCAACATCTCGCAAACCTCTGGGCCTCCACGGCCTGTTGCAGGGATACCAACACGTTACAATATATATAGTTCGTGTAGCGAAATGTACTTTCCTCCGGCCGGCTAGCGACTTCCGGATTGAAAAGTAAGCAAGTGCTAAAGCTCTGATTACTGAAAGCAACGCTCAGATGCGTAAACGATGTGTCCCGTCACACCGATAAAACCTGGACATCAGACAACCGGAAACGCGTGCGTGATATAGTCAGATGAGTCGTCCTTCACGCAGTTCTCTACATCAGGAAGAGTTTTCTTATGGAGAACACCCAAGGGATCCTACAATTCGGAATGCCTGGTTCAAAGATTGAAACACGAAGGAGATTCTGTGATGGTTTGGGCAACAATGTCGTGGTAGAATATTATGTTGTTCCATTGTTGCCCTTCATGGCCGAATTACTGCAATGGAGTACGTGGACACGTTGGGGAAAATCAGTTCTATCCCATGATCCAGACGCTATTTCGCATTCACACAGCTGGAACCGTTTAGTCATGTTTTGAAGAGCATGAAGGTGAACTTCAGCATCTTTCCTGGCCAGCACTATCACCAGATTTCGACATCACTGAACCACTCTGGTCAGTTTTGGAGACTAGGGCGAGGAACAGACGACCACCTCCAACATCTCTAAAGCAACTTGGAGATGTTCCTCAAGAAGAATGGAAAAAAATTCCTCTACGTCTGACTTCGAGTTTACTATTTGCTGTTTGCGTGCAACGCTGGTTAATAATATTTCGTTATTTTCTCTTTATTGTCACTACACATTTCGGCCTAAGCGACCATCATCAGGTGCACAGGTTGTTGTGACGAAGGGCTCTGTTGCATTATAGTGAGGGTCTGTAATTGTTCTGCTCATGGCAAGTTGCAGAAACTGACCCGCAGTACACTGTTGTGTTGCAGGACAGGGATACTGCTCAGCGAATTGGGACGGCTGGTCCTGCTGGGACAAGGCGCCAGTTGAAACGACGCAACACGGACCGTGTCCGGACTACATCTACTTTGCGGAGCCTCCTTCCTGTCAACGTAAGTAGCCAATGTGTACTCCAGTATTCTGCGAAGAGCTCTTTTCGTTGCTTTTCAAGTTCTGATATTATTAAATTAAAAATTTAACTATATTACAGGAAGAAAACAGTCTCCTGGGATGTGGCACTGTGTATATATTGTTAACTGTGTTAACCGACGTTTTGGAGGAACGTATCGCCTCCATCTTCAACTCGTGGATTTCTTGTCTTCTAACCTGAAGATGGAGGTAATACGTTCCTCCGAAACGTCGGTTAACACAATATCTACACGGCACCACATTCCAGAAGACTGCGTTCTTCATAGTCGCTGCCGTGAAAACCTCAAATCTTATATTACAGGTTCTTCCCGTTTCACAATAGACCAAGACTTCCGGCTCAGATACATAGATACCTCAGTATCTATATCCGATATTGTATCTCACACATTAGATATTCAGTGCTCGGAGCCATATCCTTGCGCTTATTTTCCGTGGATGTTCAGTTGCGCAATACGGCTCCTCCGCGCCCAGTCATACTGTCGCCACAGTCTTGAATAATTTGCACCTGTGTTTACCAATCTATTGGGAAATAACATAAATACTGTGCAGAAAGAAAAAAACAGAAGCTTTTGTTGATGCTAATACAGAGGTTGGTCAGGAGGTAAAGCTAAAAATATCACTGTAACAGGCCGTGGAGGCCCATAGAGTCATGAGCCGTTGAGGCTCCCACATTTTCTAGACAGTCTGCTCACAGATGGCGTTGAGGTTGTTGGCCTTACACGCCAACCGCCCTTTACACACAGGAACATTCCTGGTACTCATTTATGTCACAGGTTGAATCGACCCCAGGATATGGTGCGGTTAGAAGGATTAAGTCAATTGAAAAATCCAATGAACTCATAGGGAGTGGAACCCGCGGCATGACGGCTTGTAGCGTAGTGCCTTAACTAACTACGGTACCGCATGCCCTCCCTCCCCCACAGGCTGGGGTGGGGGACACAGAGAAAACCAAATCTACGTCGATGTCTCGTCACCAGAACTCAGATTAAAATCAAAACTACACGTAGAAGAAACCACTAGATATTTTGAAAATGTTGCAAAGCTCAGACTTTTGGGAAAGGCAGTAACAAATCAAAATATGATCCAAGAGCAAATTAAGTGCTGGTTAAATTCAGTAAAAGCTTGCTGCCATTTATTTCAGAGCTGTTTGTCTTCTCGTCTGTTGTCTAAAAATATAAACATTAGAACATACAGAAGAATATACTGTAACGTGTTTACGTTACTGAAGACGCCGTAGAGATGGTTAATTGGGTTTATTTAACAATCTACAAATATCGGCTATAATTAATGATCACAATATTACGGGTTTCCACACTTTACAAACCCTACAACAAAATCTCTTAACACAATCTTCACTTCTCTTCACGTACTGATAACGCGGGAGCTATACAAGTCTCCCTGTAATACACACTCCGAGTATAACTGTACTACAGCACTCACTATGTCTGGAAAGCACACAATAAGTCTTCCGCTCGCTGACTTCTTCGTTGTCGCACACTCGCAGGCTGCTATGNAAGAAGAATATACTATAATTTTGCCTGTGGTTTTGTACATGAGTGAAATTTGGTCTCTAACAATAGAGGAAGAACATATACCGATGGTATCTCAGAACAGGGGGTGCTGAGCAGAATATTTGGGCCGACGATGTATGAAATAATTGGAGGTTTGAGAAAATTGTATTGTGCGCCAAATATATTTAGAATTATGAAGTTAAATGGAATGGGATGGGATGAACAGGGAATATATAACGCATGGAGATAGGGGAAGAGGAGGAGGGAAAGCCACAAGGATGCCACTAAGAAGACCTAGACGTAGATGGGAGGATAATATTAAAGCGGATCTTGGAGTAATTAGATGGGGTGATATTCACTGGAGTAATCTGGCTCAGGACAGAGGTCAGTAACGGGCCCTTGTGAACATCATAATGTAGCTTCGGATTCGATGAAATTTTGAGAAATTCTTGAGCAATTGAGCAAACGGCGGTTTCTGAACAAGGTCTCAACTCCTTGGAGTTAGTTAGTTCTTTTAATTCGCATAGTAAGGGGTGGAGTCCAGTTGGGTTCACTCGGCACGGCGGCCACTAATTGGCCTATTGTACTTTCCCGGGTGATTATGATGATGGAGAACTTTGTGGAATGAAGATTGGCAGGGGAACCCGAAGTAGTCGGAGAAAATCTGTCCCAGCGTCACTTTGTCCACCACAGATTCCATACGAGCAGACTCGGGATCGAACCCGGGCCGCCGCGGTGGGAAGCCAGTGACTAACCGCTTGAGCTAAGGCGCGGCCATTCATAACACTTACTGGTTATTAAGCTATTGATTTATAATATAAATAATGATTTGTACCTAAGGTTTTGTGTCACAGTTTATAACGTACACCATGTCTGCCGAAAACTGATGCTCTACTTACGATAATTTAACTTAAAATGTGGTTTTGAGGAACGCATTACAGTCATAATTCTGGAACTGCCTGTATAGTTGCAAAGCTGACCGCACTACAAGTATTGCACTGCTTGCAGACATGAAAGTTATTCCGTTGCAAGTTTCATCTAGTCAGAGTGTTGATTGCACGAACGTCAGATAATGTAACACCACCTCGATTCTTCATAAGATCAGACTTTTACAAAAATATAAAAAATTCATGGGAAATGGATGTTACATTGTACCGACGAGAAGCGAAATAAATTTTGTTGGACGGCTCATGTTGCAATTCCAATGCAGGATTCTTAATTCGAGTATGATATATAGGTCGACAGACACACGGCTATTTGTTTACTTATCCATTTGTCCGAAGTATACACAAGGATTTTGTTCTGTAAAATTAATTTATACACATACAGACAAAAAACAAACTCCGTGGTTTTAGTCCGCAAGCGAACTACACCGACAGAGCGACCGCCGCTTGTTGGCGAGGTTAGTGCTAACTTTAGCGGATAGAGGGTGTCGCGTGGTCAGCGCAACTGAACCCCACGGTCGTTAATCTCGGTTTTCCAAACCGGAGCAATTATATTCTTGAAATAGCTCCTCAGTTATCATCACGAGGCTGAGTGGACCCCGTTCCAGACCCACTACTTCTCAGAAAAAACTGGTAGCGCCGGAAATCAAACTTTGGACCTCTGGATCTGTAGCCAAGAACTCTGACCACTAGACCAGAGAGGCGGTTGCATGAAGTAGTACAGTAATAGTAAATATTTAGCCCAACCACTTCGGTAATGCTCACAGTGCGAGGCCATAAATTCTCACTGAACTCATATTCTGTTTCAGAATATAGTAATAAAGAGTGCCTCGCAACAGGAAGATGGAATGAGAGCACCGACTACGCTCCCTGCTCAAGCCTTCCTATCTTACTGCTGAGGAACAGAACTTCATACCACGTGATCTTGCTTTACGTGTCAATTGCTACGTCCCTTCCGGCGCTCATCATCTTCTTTAGCTACAGGTAAGGGAGACTATCAGCGCGTGGTATTCTCATATATTAAATGGAATTGAACTAAGCCTTCCGTCGCATACATTTTCATATTGTGACATGTAGACACACTTCTAGGCAACGCACGAAATACGCGCAGGCAACAATGGAACCAGTGTCACAAAAGTTGTTCTCTGTGTGGTTCGCATATATCCATTGCTAGGTAATGGTTCAAAAACACCTTCCCTCGGAAATGAATTCTTGGTAAACAGCCCATTGCTAGGTAACGGGCCAATAAACAAGAATTCTAGGCCAACAGAAGAAAAGTGTTTTTTTCTTTCGTGGGGTCCGTGCCGAGGAATTATAAGAGAGTCGAATTCTGAAGCTAGCAGCTGTAGGAGTACAGGAGAGTACAAGAAGTAGAAGGAGTCAGTCGTAGAACGGGCACGAGAATGGAGAAAGTTCTCAGCAGTCCAGGGTTCAGCTGAAGATTTACTGTGAGCTGTTTAGATTGTGATTAAGAGCGATTGTAAAAAAGTGTTAATAAATCGAATTATCCAATCCGGAACCCGTTATCGTTAGTCACGGAACTCCGGACACGTGACAATATTTTCACTGCGACGATTGTTCAGAATGTGGTCTCCCAGTTTGTGACGACGTATAGTCTTGTAGGCGGATACTAACCTAGACTCTGTAGATGAAGGCTTCACACTCCTCACAGTCGGTGCTATCACCTACAGAAGTTCACGGTGCCACAACCCAGGAAAGCATAATTTGCGTTTCTGTATAATTCAGTGGTTCCACCTCTAAAAATATCTCCCTGAAATCACACTTCTTTCACATATACAGTGAACTTCGAAGTTTTGTGCGCTAGAAGAAGCCATGTTTGTGCACATTTCATTTCATTATAATGTGGTGGCAAACATGGGCTAAAGTAAGAAGTAAAATAACATTACATTATTAAGTTAAAGATAAAATTGAAACTGATACTTAGAATATATTTACATATATATTGTGTGTCTTTCCGGTGCGACAGTAAATATTAAACTGATTGATTTTTCACCAAATTTATTTTCCTTATGCTGTTGTAACGTGTCTGGAATCCAGAAGAGTCACCCCTATGGAAACGCTAGAACAGACCGTTGCATAGGAAGTAACAATAGCGATACTGTAATCGCAACAGTGAGCATTGCATAGAGATGAGTTTCCACGGTTATAACAAAGGCTCATTGTATAGCAACCGCCGAGGTATAAATAGCCCAGCTTCGACAAGAAGAAATCAGTCTTGGAATAACCGTCGAAGAAGTCAGTCTTCGGGAAGCTGCCACTGAAGATAGTTAGAGCTACAGAAGTACTGGCCGAGATATTGTGTAAGCAGTAATTGTAATACTGCAAGTGATAATTGTACGGTGTGTAAGTATGAGTGTCCAATAAAGATTCGCTTAATCTGAAACCCACTTATATTTATTTGTCGCGTGACACACACAACACGTGACAATATTTATTTATAAAATAATTATGGATCAGTGAGTAAACACGGAACATAATTAAAAATAGCTAGAAATTTTATGAAGAAACCGTAAAGAGTACTTTCAATCAAATAGTTTTATCTGTAGAGAGTGACTATCCAAGTTTATAAGTTTAAGACCACATACGGAAATGACGGGAATGTGTATCATAATGCAGCAAATCAGGAGCTACCGTATCGCGGTGGAAGGTTTGTTTCGGCTCAGTGTGGCTTCGTCTGAGATTCATGGCTGTGAATGTGACACTAGAGAGGGATTTCTCCAACCACCTTCGTCTTTCCCTTACTAATAATCACTAATCCATCATTCCATACCCATCTATCACCGCCCCTTGACGTGTCCATGTCATGAACAGAGGGTATGTTTTCACACCCTCACTCACTCATGGAGCTGAGCCCTTCTTGAGAAGCTGCCAATTGTGCAGCTACTCAAGAACTTCCCAGCATTTATGGAACCCGAAGGTTCATTACCGTGTTCACAAGAGCCCTCCACTGGTCCATATCCTGAGCCACATTAATTCAATCCATACCGTGTCATCCCATATTTGTAAGATTCATTTTAATATTGTCCACCCACACAGGCACACATTCTCTCAGTTTGCCCAACACAGCCAGCTTTTCCTGCAGCCTTTGAACGTATCGCTGTTTCTTCGGCTGAGCTCTAGGTCATGTTGCTTTGCATTTGGGGGCATGTAGTTCGAAAAGTAACTATGTTTAAACAAGCGAGAACTGAGGCAGAGGAACGGTACTTTTCTCACTCCGGGCTTATGCTCACTGAGTGGCCCACACTATATAAATTTGTATTTGTTTAACTCCTTTCCTTGGTTATGGCGTATGGTTAAATTCGTGTAAGTTAAATGCGCACATGATCTGACTACACTGCACTTCGAAGGAAATCCGAACACAACTGATACGGTTAGTATTCGTATAATTTTCTTGCCGAAATGTGGGCTTACCTTCCACTAGCGTAGTCCTTAAACAATACAAGAAAGCCGTTACTATAAACACCCCCTGCTTTAACATTTAAGAAATCTTTGGTATACCCACAGATTGCATTTACTGGCCCCGTAACAATAAACGGTAATTATTTTGTTAAACAGCATTATCATAGTGCTTCCTGTGTTGTAGAAACTGAATTCTTTGATATTACGTATTTAAACTAATTTCATGCTTCGAAGGGTGAATGGGGATTATACACGAAACGCCGTGTGAGGGTTTAGCTGTGGCCATCTGGGACGAGAAATGAAAAAGGGAAGGTATACATAGCTAATTATAATTAACCAGTCATTTAAGAACCACTTCTTGAAGATGTATTCCCGGAGTGGAGTGTAGCATGACCCATTCTTAACCTCTACATTATGCGGTAGCGTAGTTGGTTGAGGCACTATGCTACAAGCCGGAAGGTGGCGGGTTCAAGTCCCGATGAGGTCATTTGATTTTTTCAATTGACCTAATCATTCCGGCCGCTCTATGGCCCTGGGGTCGACTCAGCCTCTAACAGAAATGAGTACCAGGAATATTCTTGGAATGTTCTTGGAGGTGAAGGGCGGCCAGCGCTTAAGGCTGACAACCTTGCCGCCGTCTATGAGCCGATATTCTAGAAAATGTTGGAACCTCGACATCTCAACATCTATGGGCCTCCAAAGCCTGTTGCAGGGATAACTTTACTTTACTTTTACTTATATTGAGGTGAGTAATCAGCTTAACTCCTCAGCAGCCTTAACTCCAGGGAAAGTGTCCCCTTTACCCATTGAGTAGGAATTTCATTGGGCCCCAGAGACTGTCTGGGCGCTGTGGAGAAGAGAAAAATCTCTTACTAATTCCGGGAATCTTGATTTCCTGGTCATCCAGCCAGTAGCCCGTCCCTATACCGACTCAACTGTATGTTAATTAGCAAATAATTTTAAATGTGGTTGCATCTTCCGAATTTTACTGGAATCATTGGTATAGAACTGTAAGTTGATATTGGCTGTTACAGAAAACTGAGGATTACGAGGGTGACCCTCCACAGGAACCTGATTGTAGCCATTGTCCTTCGAAATATTTTCAGCATACTAGTCAAGACGATTATCATTCTAGATGCCATCAGCAATGAAAGGGTAAGAATATACACTTCTTAATTTTGTGAATCAAATTAGGTCACAAGAATATGATGCTGGTTCATTGCTAACACAACAGAATTTTCTTGTATTTGAAAGGTTCCAAGTTCGATATTCGGTTCTGGTCACTGGGTCACCTGCCTACATTCTTCATCTACCAGTTATTCTGGGTGCCCAGAGTTTTCAGTAAAATAGGCCAGGACCAATTCCTCAAAACTCTTTTTGTTTTACCGTACGTAACCATCGTAACATTATATGCCAAATGTACTCTGAAATTCGTGGAGTGTCTTAGTTAAATTATTGGTTTGTTAAATATGAAACATTTCACGTCCAGAAGCCTCTCATTAAGACTGTAAGGCACAACACGACCTCTTATGAAAGGGATCGGTTTTGCCAAGTATATTAATACCAAATTTCAATTTCTTTATTGTATACCGCAAGAAACTATGGCCTACCTCTAGTGAAATCACTATAACTAGAAGCATGACAACCACCAGGAATAAAACTGCACATATTTACTATGGTCTGCCATATTACTATTACAGGATAAAGCATTAAGTTTGTCACGTATGAAGTACTGTTATTGGTGAACATGTTAGTGACCTCTCGCAAGAATGGTACTTCTAAATAATAATTTGCAATTACTGGTTTTACAGCAAGCAGACATTTTATTGTTAATAAATGTCAGTGATTTGCGGAAGATGCCTCAATTTGATTATCTCCAGACTCAAAGGGAAAAGTCTACAGAATAAGACTAGTAAACTGGTAACAAATGTGTTAACATTTGAGGAAAAAGAAGCAGTGAAAGGTTCCTTGAATATAGTAGCTCGGCTGCGAGCATGAGTGGCAACAAGTACATAACGTAGCAGTGTGCAGTGAATGAAACGGGCAACTAGCAAGCTTGAATCCGGGGATGGTACCTATTTTCTAAATCCGGACGGAAGAGAACTCTTCTGGATTTAAACGAATTCGGTGAAGCTGTAATCCGGATGCATTATAATTACTACACTATAGAGAGGCGCGTCCCTGCAGTTGAATTTTACAGAGGCTTAAGAACCAACTTTATCAGACTTCATAATATTGATGAATATTATGTAAATTTCCTTATGTGTTCTTTAACACAAATAAATAGATTGTTTAAGGGTTGTTATCGCGCTAGACACTACCTCGAAGTCAGTTTCCTTCCGGCAAATAATGTATAAAGCATTGACCTTGGTACGTTTATTTATTGCTAGATCTATCACAACATTGCGTTCAGAATATTTTAATTCACGTGCTAATATTTAGCATAATACTACTACTACTACTAATAATAATAATAACAATGTACGAGTATTATGTCATTATATAATGCGGGCCTTAAAATGAACTGCAACGGATGAAACTTACTCTTGAAGAATGCCGTCTTCTGGGATGTGGTGCCGTGTAGATGTTTTATTAACTGACGTTTCGGGGGAACGTTCCCCCGAAACGTCGGTTTATACAACATCTAAACGGCGCCACATCTAGGAAGAAGACATTCTTCATAGTTATCGCCGTGAAAACCTCAAACCTCAGAAACTTCCTCTTGGTAACACACATACAAGTGCCATGAATGAAGTTTAATCAGAAACTGGCATAGGCGTAAATAGCTCAGATTACCGAAATTTTATTAAGTAGCATGACTGTGGAAAACAGCGGAAGTGCAAAGCGATGTGCAAAACGGACGAATTTTAATCTCACAAAGGACGTGATGTATACGTACTTTTCATTAATTTTTGCAATTTTTACATAAGTTCATTTCATTGCCATAGAATGAAGTTCATTTAATACACATGCAAATCTTGTAGTGACACTTTTTTTTTCGTTATATCATTTCTGTGTAATCTCCATGATTTAATTCTGGAACAGGATATCTCTCTGATGTAGATTAACTACTTTATTGATCGGCTATAACTTTCAGTTTTTCGACTTACCATAATACATTCTACATAGTATACAGACTGAATGCTTCAAATGTATTGAGTCACTGTAATTTTATTATTTTTCCAACTCACTGACTCATGGAGCTGAGTCCTTCAGGAGGAACCGCAAATTCTGCAGGAACTCAAGGATTTCTCAGCATTTTATGGAACCCGAAGGTTCATTACCGTGGTCACAAGAGTCCTCCACTGGTCCTTATCCTGAGCCAGATCAATCTGATCAATACCATCCCATCCTATCCATTGTCTTATCCCATATTGTCCACCCACCTACGCCTTGGTCTTCCCAGTGGTCTCTTTCCTTCTGGCTTTCCCACCAATACCCTATACGCATTCCTCGTCTCCCCCATTCGTGCTACATTCCCTACCCACCTCATCCTCCTTGACTTGATCATTCTAATTATACTTGGAGACGAGTACAAGTTATGAAGCTCCTCATTATGCACTTTTCTCCAACCTCCTGTCACTTCATCTCTCTTCTGTCCAAATATTCTTCTCAACACCCTGTTCTCAAACACCCTCAGTCTATGTTCCTCCCTTAATGTCAGAGACCAAGTTTCACACCCCTACAGAACCACAGGCAAAATTATAGTTTTGTATATTCTTATTTTTCCAGTAATATTTAAATTACTAAAATCCATAGTCATTTGAATGCTTGATTATATAGGATGTAACTGAAAGTGCTGACAAATTTTGGGCACTAGTTCCACAACTAAGAAAAAGAACAATTTCGGTATCAACATGTGTCCAGAAGCATTAATTTTTTAGTTATAGCTGAAAGAGTACATTTATAATAAGTACTAACAGTGTCCTCCATGAGATTCAATTCACGCCTCGACACGTCACATCATGGACCGCCACGCCCGTTCAGAGATGCCTGGTTAGTTGCTGATTGTCTTACAGGCATCCACAGTGCGATGGTGAAATGCCTCTTCGTCGTCAACAGGAGCTGCATACATATGGAGTTCTAGTTGTCCCCACGCGCAAATATCCCCAGGATTCAAACATGGCGAGCCTGGAGGCCATGCAATGGGTCCTCCTCTACCTATTCATCGGTCATGATAGGCGTTATTGAGGATGCGGCTAAAATGTGCCGGAACACCATAGGCAAGCATCACATTCGTGCTGTGACTGCTGTGGTACGGCTTCCAGTAGTTTCGGCAGACCATGTAAGGGGAAATCTCGATAGCGGTTGCATGTAAGCCCATGTGGCAAAACATGCGGGCCTACCAAACAGTCACCAACAAACCCTGCCCACGCTTTAATGTTGAACTGCTGCTGGTGTATAGAATGGATTCCAACATTAGTAACCTTCTCCGCCCACTGGTGCTGGTTAGAAATATGGATAATGCCGCAACTACCCCGACATCTTTGAACGGATGCGGTGGTCCACGGCGAGACGTGTCCGGGCGTGCATTGAATCTCATGGAGGACATTTTGTGTCCTTACTATAAATGTACTCTTTCAGCTATAATTGAAAATTTAAATGTTTCTGGACACATGTTGTGTGGACATGTTTTCTGTTTTGGTGTGTGGAATTCATACGCAAACTTGGTCCGCACTTTTCAGTTACATTCCGTATATATGAATTTTAATACCAGAAGGAAAGAGACCACTAGAGAGACCAATGCGCAGGTGGGTGGACAATATTAAAATGGATCTTAGAGAGATAGGATGGGATGGTATGAATTTGATTGATTTGGCTCAGGATAGGAACCAATGGAGGGTTCTTGTGAACACAGTAATGAACCTTCGGGTTCCATAAAATGCTGAGAAATTCTTGAGTAGCTGCAGAATTGGTGGCTCCTCAAGAAGGGCTCAGCTCCATTAGTAATGGGTAATAACACCAAAAGGAAGAGCATATACACGCAGATGTTTTGTTCCGGTTCGAGGATATACGTACTCTGGTTCACACGAGACATAGCAGCAGTCAATTACTGTTTTTTTTATTCTATTATCGAAAAATATTTTATATAGACGTTGTAAAACTTATTGTGCACTGTATTTAGTACTATGCATAATGTTTTTCGTATAGGTAGCAATTCTTGAGTAGACCAATATTTTATTTGAGTTTCATATAATGTAGGGATTTGTATATGACTCATAGGGAAATAAATCTCTGTGCAAACTTTAGTACAGAATGTATTCCAACTGTATTTCATAGTTTCGAAAATGAAAACCTACGAAAGGAGCAACAGGATAAGCGGTATATCGGCTTTGCGTGTTATTCTCTCACTTTGTTCAACCACAGGATAAAAGTGAGCAGGTACTTTAGGCCAAATATGTTTGGGGGTGGGGTGATATTTCACCTCTAGATTCACAGTAATGGATTTTGATCTTTATGCAGCTCTTGTTTTTTGCAATTGTGCTGTCATCCCAGACTCTATACAATCGAATGATCGGTTGATTAATATTTGTATCTGTAGTTTAATTAAAGACTCTGTTGTTACCATAGAGGATGTGTAGTGAATAATGAATTTGAAGGAACATTGAAGTGGTCATGGACCAACTTGAAGTACTAATCCGGCATAGGACTGTGCTCGGAGAAACCGAGGAAAACTACAATTTCAGTCTGCATAGTCAACATCCTTGCCGAGACTCGAAAGGGTACCTCGAAAATATAAGTAGAAGTGCTACATTTGAACCGTCTTGGTCTATTTTAATGTATCTGTCTCATTTAAGAGTTAAAGTCAGGTTGATATACGTCCTATTATTATGTGCGCTTTTGTTTCTGTAGTTTGAAAAATTCAGACTATTGAAGATAAAACTCCGGGTAGTCCATAAAACGACCTTTCGAATATTGAAACGTTGGTTGACTTTCAACGGACGACATGGCGTTATATCCCAGAAGATAGAACTCTTCGCCCTCCAACATACGCATAGCTCTCCAGAATTAAATCTTCTCGACAGGTTTTCAAACTAAATATTTTGTGCTTTTTTGTTTCTCTCATGCGTGCTGGAGTCCCCCCAATCTCGGTGCTCTTGTTTGGCAGGAAGGGGTGATGGAGACTAACTCCGTCTGGTGTCGAGTACTCTCCTTCATGGACAAACTGGCTGGGAGCGCTGTATATTCTTGTATGCTTCTGGAAAGTGTATTTTTGCATCGCCTCATCGCCGCAGCATTCAAAGGAGAGCCGAAAATGCTGTACTACTACTACGTGGCTATAGGTATGATGCAACTTGTTGCTTAGTAACGACAAATATTTGTAGAGGAAAAATACATGGTAAAAATCATGAATTAGAACCAAATATATCGTATATATATATATACAATACTATAAACCATCCATCAATTATGCCATTTGATCATAAACCAATAATTCTGAAACGCTACCAGCATCTACTCCTGGTACTCATTTCTCTTAGAGGCTGAGTCGAACCCAGGGCCATAGTGAGGCTGGAAGGATTAGGTCAATTGAAAAAATTCACCTCATCGGGATTCTATCCCGCGACCTTCCGGCTTGTAGCTGGGGGTAAAGGGCGGCTGGCGTGTAAGTCTGACAAACTTACCGCCATCTGTTAGCCGATTGTCTACAAAATGTGGAAGCCCCAACATCTCACAATCCTATGGGCCTCCACTGTCTATTAAGGGGATACCTTTACTTTTTACTTTACTTTACGTACCAGCATCTAGTGCTATGAATTATATAAAAAACGAAGAAGAACGACATATATCACCTTAACGAAATTCGTTCAAAGATTAGGGTTTCCCAGTCATTACTCTACTTCATTTTCCTTGTGAAGTTCAGTGAATACTGATGCTCCTCCTTTGTTCCGAACATTTCCACAGATGTTTTCAATTGAGAGATACAACAGTTTTCTTAATTTTTAAAATGAAGGCGCTGTAAATTTATGTTTATGGATCGCTTGTGTAGGCTGTAAATTCTCTAACTGCAAAGGCACTCTATTGAAAAGGAAAGCAAGTTGACGCTGGACAGGAAAGGCCACTGGCGAGACCAGTTCTGAGTAAATTTGTCTGAACTTATAGCGTAGTTACATAAAACTATAGACACATTAGGCCGGTCAAGGTAGCCGAGGGGTCTAAGGCATGCATTTTCTTCGTTCGCTCGGAAGGCGGGACCGTGGGTTCGAATGTTTGGTGTTTGCGTACAGGTAGAGGCCTTGCGACGAGCTGATAACCCGTCCAAGGAGTCCTACCGAATGTCTAAGATATAGTAAACCGAAGTGAAGCGGAGAGTTTCATGGAGGTAGGCCAAGACCCATTGGGGGGGCCAGTTACTTCCACCGTAGCCCTGAGTGTCGTAGGAGGCGAAGAAAAGGGAAACCCATGACCTGGGTGGTAGAACTGGACCAGGCTGTTCCTGGGGGGGATATAAATACGGGACCTGGCACTCCAGGTTGGGGGAGTCTCGAATGTGAGACAGTAAAATATGGTCATGAGTCCCACGGGTCTCGAACCTGAGAAATACTGCGCTGGCGAGAACCAGCAGCAACTGTAAACCACAGATCCATCCTCTCGTCTGAGAGGATGTTACGTAACGACTATGATCGCAAGCGTTCAGCTGGAGAAAAAGTACTGGTCATGAGCCTCAAGGGGCTTGTCGCCAAGACGAACTGATTGGCGACAAACCGTCAGTCGTAAAGTAACTCTGATGCTGACTGACTGAGTTCAATTGGAAAGGAGCCGCCATTCAGAGAGGACTTGAACACCAAAGCCGTTACCAGGTAAATATTAGAGAAGACACTGCGGGCTGGAAAAGACTTAACGTGTTTGATAGTGATCTATCAAGTGTAGTCACGAGTAGTGAGTGTATAAGTGATCACCAAATCCAATATCCAACACAAAACCCCGTCCACAGTCACTCATCCACATGATAATATGCATAAGATATTAAATTACTGAGTTTCAAGAATTATATTTTTAATTCTTTTCGCTCCCTTTTGCAACACATGGTCTGCTGGCCATGCTTGAACCATCTGGGTTACTTCTATAAAGAAAAAATTTTAATTTCGTAATGTGAACTACAATCAGTACATTCAGAAATTTTTGAGAGAATATTTGCGATAAGTATAAGAATTTTACATCATTAATTTGGCGGAAAAATTTCAGATTCACATAAATAATTTAAGGTAATTTGCAAAATTGTTGTTACTAGCCTACGTATCTCTTAAATTCATGATCCTTGACCGAAGAAATAAAATGCTTTCAGGTCTTGCCATTTTGCCAGTGGGAATTTGGGCCACCATTACAGCTCTGCACAACGATGTCAATTGTTGGGCGGCAGATTCCACGAATTTTGGTTATATAGTTGATGGTCCTCGCATCTTAACATTAGTGGTGAGTTTGTACAAGATAAATTCGAACATAATCTGTACTTGCACTTTTGGACTGTTTGTATTTGTATGAAAGCACGCAAAGCATTAGTAGATTTTTTTTACTGAAACCTTGTGATCACAGTCCGTATGTAACATCCTCTCTTACTAGAAGGTAGACACCTTGTTCTAGAGAAACGTCGGTAGTATCAATATGTTCAAATTTGGCTCTGTATGTGTTCATTCAATTCATTCTTGATTCACACAACTTAAGGGCTCTTGGTTTTCAACGACCTATTTAATAAATTTGTCTCATTAACGTCTGTTGCTGTTCCGAGTGGTGGTGTCCCTTTTTTGTTTCCTTGTGCTACGCGCTAGTCTCTTCTTAAACATAGACTTTCAATTCCGAGTCTTGTTTTTGTAGCAAAATTTTCTGCTCTCCACACACTGCAGCTGCGATTTTCATAAATCGAAAAATTCGGAAAGATTTGAATAAAGAAAGAGGCTGAAACCCGGCAGCCGATCTTATGCGTTAGCATGAAACAACAAGAATAAGAGATTTTCATATGTCACAGGTTCCTCCAGAATTTTTCACGAGATGTATATAATAATTTGCGTTTTTCAGATTAATGCGCTGTTAATGCTGGATATTGTAAGAGTCTTGTGGACCAAGCTGAGGAGGGTCAACACGGCCAAATCCCAACATATCAAGTAAGAAAGCCCATCTGCCCTCACACTGCAGCTTGTTCGACACATCAAGCCTTCTTACAAGGTGCTTCTAAACCGCTGCTCTTTTAAGGACACGTAAAACTGCGGTAGGAAAATACGCGTACCCTTTCCATCAGGATATACTAGTCTCATGGCCTATCCGGACGAGGTACCGGAGAATAAAGCTCTATCGAGGAGTGATCTCAGGCGGTGCAGTCCGTAATCAGTAGACTTTGTAGCTACACTCTCCTGAACGGAGCCAGGGTAGCGTAGTCATCATAGCGACTGGCTGTTAGAGTCTCGGAAGGATCAAGAATTTTCTCTTCTTCAATCGTCCAGACCGGCTCTGGCGTTCACCCAACCTCCTATCCAATGGGTACCGAGGGCTCTTTCCCCGGGGGTAAAGCGGCAGGCGCATGAAGCTGACCACTCACTTCCAACTAGTGCCGAGTTCAAGAAAATGTGGATCTATACATCCACTCCGCCATACGTCTTCACGGCGTAGTGCTTAATTAGTTAAGCACAGAGACAACTTTACCTTTTTTACCTTACGTTCTCCTGGATATCACATTCAAAGAGACTAAGCGTGTGAAATGTGAAGTTCTTATGGAGGTGAGTATGAAAATTGCGTCTCTTTGATTGTAACGCAATATAATTGGGCAGGTACAGTAGTTTCGAAAGTTTTGGACGAACCTTCCAATGAGGTATATGGCGTCACGTCTCAAAATAACTTAGATAGGTCTTTCCGAAACGTTAGTACCTGTCTACAAACTACATGCTGTCACATTCATGAAAGTCACAATTTTAAAACTAGTTTAATTTTAGTGGCTAAGACAGAATTCTTGCTCTTCTACATGTCTTGCTGAATTTAGTTCAGGTGCATCATGTTTAATTGTCAGTAACAGAAAGATCTGTCTAGCAAACTTGCTTAACGCACTTGAATTCATGAGGATTCCTCTAAAAAGTATAAAAATATTATGTGTTGGGCTGGGCGAGATTACGACACTACTGCAACAGGGAGCGCACAGCGGCGAATGGGGGAACTACCAGCAGTACGTAAATAAAGAAACGAGCACAAAGAAAACAAAAGCGGGGACAAACAAATACAGGAATATCAAGATAGAATCTATAGCGACGGGATCAGGCCACCGGCCTAAACCTTGAATTCGAAAGAATGAAGGATATGTTCTAGGTACCATAATAAGAAACGTGAACGAATTAAAGCACAAGATTTCTGTAACCATGATTTGTATATCGTGTCACATATGTGAAGAGATTCAACTTGTGTGGGATGTTTGTCCAGCCACGGCTGATACTCCAATTAGAATGTTACTGTCGCAACTAAAGCTCCTGTGTCAGAAATTATAACAGTGCTATATAACTTTTCATAAAATGGAGTCAAACTGCGACATATCTAGAATATTTAAAATACTCTTGTTATCGCTCTGTGTGTAATGATGTATTTTTGCGTTCAGTGGGCGCAAGAATAAATGACATAGGTTATATTTTAGTTTGAAAATTGTGGGAATTCAGTAACCAATGCTATCACCAATTCTTACTGAAGTGGATGTCCTGTTATACTTAAGTAATTATCTACATAAGATAGGTACAACAGATTTCATGTTATCTGACATTTATACGTTTTCATATACAGCACAATCCACATTTACTAATACATGGTAACGTACTTCACGCTGTGCTTTTCTTGTCCCATTGCAACATGACTGATTCTTGAGGTATATTTTGTTACAAACTGAGATAGGCAACCTGTCACCTCTAGATATGTTTAAAAAGCTAAATTTGTATACGTACGTATATGTATGCATATCCGTGTGTACGCAGGATGACAAAAGATTCCAGGAATTCAACCGTAAGTTGTTTTTTTAATGCTCGTGGAGTGGGACTAAGTCCCTTGTACTGCGGCCACTTCTGGCCTATTGTACCAGCACCAGATGATAGGTGAGGGTGATTGTGGAGCAATTGGTGGGATGAAGATTGGCAGGGGAAACCCAAGTACTCGGAGAAAACCTGCCCCAGCGCCACTTTGTCCACCACAAATCCAACTTGACCAGACCCGGGATCGAAACCGGGCCGCCGCGGTGGAAAGCCAGTGACTAACCTCTTGAGCTATGGCGCGGCCAACATCTTGACCATGTCCCTCTGCGCATGTCCACTTGCTTCAGCAGTCCTGCCATTTCTGGGAGAACCCCTGGAAGTCGTATTCTGTTATGGCTATGAAATATCCTGGGACGTGGTGTCACATTTCCCCTCGGAGGCAAACGATGACTTTTAAGCTCCATTTTGATTCTCGAGAAGAGTCAGAAGTCGCATGGAGCGAGATCCGAAGAATATGGTGGCTGGGTAATGGCACGAATTTCGTTATTTTCCAAAAAAAATGCTGCAGTCCCAGGGAGGTGTAACAGGGTGCATTCTCACGGTGCAAGACCCCACGGTTTCACCATGGCCGACAGCGACACGCTGTTATGTCACAGGATGCTGTAATTTACCCTATAGACAGCACATAGTCTCATCTTGCACACTACACCCCTCTCACTTCAACAGGAAGCGGTTACCCCGATAGGACTAAATTCCGGGACTAAATTCCATGTATTATGTCATGTATGCATGTGCGTATACAGGTGTCCCAGGAGGAATGGACCAAACTTCGGGAGGGTGTTCCTTATGTTAAAGTATGCCGATATAACCCAAAACACCTATGTCCATAGTTGAACGGTTACGGAGATAATGGCCAGAGAAGTGTCAAGCTTTGACCGGCGTTGCACACTTGTTGATTACAAAATACATATTAGAACTGGCAGGAATATGTGGATTCTGTAATGTTAATAATGTACGTCACATCAAACTAACTTGTGAGTGACATGAAGCCATGAAATTGAAGTAGAAAATACTCGCTCGCCATGTCATAATTGTCCTTAGGGTTTCCAAGCACTATGCATGACACATGAATGGCAAGCGCTGACGTAACGTGCTGACTGCGCGTTCTGGTATAAGCCAACTACATAAGCACGGCTAGGGTGAATCATCGCACTCAAGGACAAACATAGATAAGGCCTCTCATCTGAGAGGTACAGTGCGTGGACCTGCCAGAAGACCGCACTTTTCTTGGGCCATTATCTCCGTAACCGTTCAACTTTGGACATAGGTGATTTGGGTTATATCAGCATACTTTAACATAAGGAACACCCTCCCGAAGTTTGGTCCATTCCTCCTGGGACATCCTGTATATGAATGTATGTGTAGACCTGCGTGTATGAAAGTATGTAAATTTGTATGGATATGAATGTATATGTGTGTACATGTTTATATTATGTGTGTATGTAGGTCTACAAACGCCTGTATTAACCTAAGCAATCGAACGGGTAAATTGCTGTTGGTCTTCGCCAGTACAGTCATTCTTAGTTAGGAGTCCACGGGACTCATGCCCATATTTTTCGCTCTCACAGCTCTGCCTAAGTCGTTTGTAACTAAGTGACTATGTTCTGTCTGTGCAGGCGGATGACTCGAGCCACCATCCTCCTGATGCCCTTGTTCGGTGTTCAGTTTCTGCTGACACTGGTTCGCCCCAGCACGAAGGACTGTGAGCTCGAGCAGGCTTACTACTATATCTTCTACACCATGGATGGCTTACAGTGTACACTTGTGGCACTATTCTACTGCTACCTTAACAAAGAGGTGTGTATATTTTTAAGACCGTGTTTCTCAAACTGTGGTCCGCGGGCCACTATTGGTTGGTGGCTGTCCACAAGATGGTCCATAATAAACACAATGTGTAGATGCGAACATTTGCAGCCAAGTTTACCGGAAGGAAGAAGCCAGTCAGGGTATTTTATGGGCTTGGATAACTAAATAATTCGGTAGCTAACTCTATACCGAACGTCCTGGTTGAGTCACCCAGATATCCAAGATAAAGGCCATCCTGACTAAGATTTTCGTGGTATTCCTCAGTCCCTGGAGTAAAATGTTGCCTTACAATGTCTCGACCGCTTCCTTCTGCACCTCCCCCAATTCATTATTTACTATTGACTTTCCATTTGGGGTTACATACCAGACGAAATTGAGATATGTACCATAAAGCACCCGGAGAGAAAGAGCAGGTAAATTAAGTTAGGTTTAAGTTTCTTGGGGTGGGGTGAGACTATGTCCACTTGGTACGTCGGCCACTATTTTGACTATCGTTGCAGCCCCGGATAATAGATGAAAAATGTTGAACAGTCCGTGGAATGAGAATTGGCAGGGGAAACCGAAATGCTTGGAGAAGACCTCTCCTAGTGCCACCTTCTCCATCGCAAATCCCACATGACCCGGCCTGGGATCGAACCCTGGCCGCAGCGTTTGGGAGCCGGCGACTAACCGCCTGAGCTATGGTATGGCCAAAGTGTAAGTAACTTTCCCTCGTGACAGAAACACTCGGCAGCTAATAGAAACACACCCTGTTATGGAACTCACAGGTCCACGTGCAGATCCTTCGGAGCTACAACGTGCTGATGACTCATCTGTACCGTCTACTGGGCAAGGACTACGAGCCGAAACGTCGGACCACCTGGGTCTACAGCGAGCGTCGTCAGACTTCCACTAGCCTGGTCATACCCGACGATGTCGCGCGAACAAGTGCGACCTCTCACCCCGGTGCTGTCGGTCGAAAGGAGTCACATCCACGTAGCAGCAGGACGTCTCTCGTTATTGGGAGCGTGAGCGACATTCTGGCTCAGCAGGACGCCGTCCAGTCGCCTGGAACGCTTCCTCCGCGTAGAAGCGTCTCTTTCGCCAGGAGTTCGTACAAAAGTGACGGTTCGTCATCCAACTACTACATTCCCAACCGCCCTCACATCATGAACAGCGCAAGGCAAAGGAAAGTTTCTGTTGTCAACGAGGAAAGTCAAGCTGAAGACGAAAGAATTCAGGAACAGAGACCTACAGCAGATACATCAATATCACATACCAAATCACACGATTCTGATGAAGAAGCACATGGATCGAACAGTGAGCCTTATCCAGGTTACATGGATAGTTCAGAGGAGTCAGGTTTTGAGGTCACTGGAAGTCAAATTTTGTTGGCTCCAACAGTTCATAACCTGGGACTCTCAGAACATATCGCGGACATAGCAGCAACAGACATGCACGCTGATAGTGGTACAGCAGCAGATGGGCAGTCGTGCGCCTAAGTGTTTCGTCCGGTTAGAGGAGTATAGCTGTAGCATCCTGATTTGTGATTTAGAAACTTAAGAATTAATCAGCAAAATAAACTTGCGAAGTGACAATCCTTTCTTGTGCGAAAGATCTAAAATTTTGTGACGATGGTATATTAACAGAGCTCTTGTGTTTGTGGATAGTTGTATTCTTATGCGTTAACTAACCTCATAGACAAGGCCGCGCCATAGCTCAAGCGGTTAGTCGCTGGCTTCCCACCGTGGCGGCCCGGGTTCGATCCCGGGTCTGGTCAAGTGGGATTTGTGGTTGACAAAGTGGCGCTGGGGCAGGTTTTCTCCGAGTACTTCGGTTTCCCCTGCCAATCTTCATTCCACCAATTGCTCCACAATCACCCTCACCTCTCATCTGGAGCTGGTACAATAAGCCAGAAGTGGCCGCAGTACAAGGGACTCAGTCCCACCCCACTAGCAATAAAAAACCTCATAGACACGGATGATTCTTGAGGGGTTAATAGTTACTATAATGATGAAGACACCCCTGCACTTTATGGAACATGAGGTTGTATTAGTGTCGACGTTATTCTGTGAATCTTTTGTGGCACCAACCCCCAGAAAGCCTTATGCAACTGAAATTACTCCTCCTGTTTACAAAGAATGTATGTAATTTCCATTCCGATATATTTGGTTCCACGATAAATTTATTTGCCTTCACAATATAATTAGTGTTTTTTTAATGTATCAGCAGATTAAAATTTTTCCTGAGAGAGAACATAATGTATTTACGTACACTGGCATTACTGTTTAGAGTGTTCTTTTAGAAATCTGTGTACAATAAAGAAAGAGAATGTCGAATTCGATTCGGTGAAATGATGGATATATGCACTTTTCGAATAATGGGTAACACCTTACAGGATCCAGGTAATTCTGCATTAATCTGTAGAAGGATTGACCTCACTGGGCTCACCTCATCCGCTGTGTATGCTAGAGAACTATGAATTATATAGAATTCTTTATTGAAATCCGTCACAACACAACAGCATAACGTTCAAGGTCAACATTACCTTATCTGATGGAAAATTAGAAACGGCAAAAAGGAAAAAAGAAAGAGGAATGAAATTAAGCGAATGAGAATTTCTGGTAAGTATCCGCTTACGTTACGCGTCATAAATATGTGAACTGATATTTGCATCTTAAGCGGGATACATGATATACTAGTATGTGCATACTTTATAAAATATAGCTCTAAACAGTACTTCTCTAAAACCGATAAAGTTCTGATCCCTCTGGATTCTGTTACAAGCAAGTTTACCTGTATCTATCTATGGCTCTACACCCATTTGTTGGATCTTCGCCACTTTCCAGTCTCTTGATCTTTTACACAGTGGGTAAGAGTCCTTGGACGGGGGATCGGTCCGTCGCAAGGCCTGGTGCCTACACACAGAATAACCCAACACAAAATAAACCCATACAGACATCCATGCCTCGAGTGGGTTTTTAAGCGACGATCCAGTGTTTGAGTGGACAAAGACGGTTCATGCCTTAGACCATTTTGATAGGTAGTTTAGCTGTATGTTGTCACGAATTTTCTGACTAGGAACGGGGTTTGGTTTGGCAATTGGATTTATTGAACTCCAGCAACTCAAGTAATTATAACATTTCCGCCAGTTAAAGTAGTCTACAATATACTAGAGTACATGATACATTTTCTCAGTTTGTTTTCACTGGTTGTTGCCTGACGACAACTCCCACCAATGCAGATTCGTCAATTTCCGTTTTCAACTGCTCCTGTACTCGCTGGCTGGCGGCTCCTTCACAGAGTCAGACTTACTTAAGGACGGGCGGTTACCGCCAATCATTTCTTCTTGGCGCGAAGCCTTTCGAGGGTCACGACCAGAGGTTTTTCCTTTGCAAATTAACTCCGTGAGTCACAGTCCTCCTGTAACGCCCTCTCTGACGATAGGATGGACGTATCTCTTAAGAACAGGCTTTTTTTTTCAAGAATACCTATCGCAAATATGTTAGTGAAAATTCTTCCTTGTGCGCGATATACAAGCCCTCTGTCAATACAGGTTTTGCAAGCAGATCATGCATATCTTACGTATTTTATGCCACAACTGCAACTTAGTCACTTGAAGGTTAGTTGCTGGCTTCCCACCGCGGCGGCCATGGTTCGAGCTCGGGTCTGGTCACGTAGGATTTTTGGTGGACAAAGTGGCGCTGGGGTAGATTTTGTCCGAGTACTTCGGTTTCCCCTGCCAATCTTCATTTCACCAATTGCTCAACAATCACCATCATCTGTCATCTGTAGCTGACGAGAAGATTGATTTGTCTCTTATGAATATATTTTGCTTTTCTTGAAGTGTATATTCTTCCTTTCACACTACACACAAGTCCTCTGTCGGTACAGGCTTTACAGAGCAGATTGTGCCTACATTGCTTATCTTATGTTACAACGGCAGCTTAGTCATTTGAACGGTCGTTATTTTGGATCTTCGTTATAGCTGCGGCACGGAACATAAATAAAATACCTCTTCTGTTGTCAGAATTGTTGCGTAAACTAGCTAATATTGTAGCATGGCCCACAGAGAACACAGCTTCTATTGTTGCGTGGTTGCTGAAAAATATATACTGAGTCGTTGCCAAACAATGATCATGTTCCTTCACAATAATATACGTACTATAGTTGTTGGGATTTATTTGCGTTGTTACTAATGACGACAATTACAACAGTAGATGCCAACTTCATTTAAACAAAAATCAAGGGCGGCATGTAAAGGAAATATGTAAATATGTACTATTAAATTATAAAAATCATATATTCAAGGTTAAATAAAGCCAACGAAATGCTTCTTTTTGCTGCATCCCTGCTACGGCTTCCATATACTGGGCAGGGCTATGTAAATTATGAAGTTTATCCTTATGTAACATCCTCAATTACTTGCTAGAATTATTCTTTTATGCAAATATTTTCCTTCTCGCGTACAGCCCATTTATGAAATGGGGCCAAACTTTAAAGCGTCGGTCATTCCTAACTTGACATTTAATTTTTAACGTTGTAACGTAATTTTTGCAATATCCTTGGCAGCAGAATTATATTGGATGAAGGTAAATCGGTTTGTGTTTCAGATTAACGTCAAGGTCAGTTTCCTATCGATCTCTTCTTATATCATCGAATATTTCATTTAAATACCAGATCACATCTGCAGTCACAGTGAACGCCATTGCTCGCAAGGCACAAGGCGAGGTGAGTATGTCGTGTCAGTTACCGTTGTAGGTATTATCTGTTCTTCTGCAGTCAACATAAGAATGCTATTAGTGCAGCAGGCTACGTCTGTATGGCGTCGAATATCTGACACTGAATCATGAATTGGAAAGGATATGGAAGGAGACGATCGTGACATAATCTAGATACTCTCCTGGCACTCGTCTAGACGGACTGAGGAAAATCATTAAGGATAGTGTGTGCCCCAGTTCTTTTTCGAAACGAGACTCTCTTGAACTCAGCCAAAATGTTATGACATTAGCCAAATGACTCGGTGTCCCTGTGAAAAGTTGTAGGTTTAAACGTCATTTACAAGAAATCATAAAATACAAATGAATATCTTAATATCTGTCAAAGAGTGCACAATTTATTCTCATAAATATGGGCGGATTCGTAGGTACATGTGAAGTTCGCTTTAATGTTTGACTGTCATTATCGAAAAAAAAAACACATTAAATTGTAGCAAACCAAGAACATGTACGTATATAATTTAAATTTTTTTATTATATAGGCCTGCTACAAACTCCGCAATTCTCGAATTCTGTTAATATCTAAATACACAACGCAATGAATCACTCACTCATGGATCTGAGCCCTTCTTGAAATGCCACCAATTGTGCAGCTGCTCAGGAACTTCCCAGCATTTAATGGGACCCGAAGGTTCATTACCGTGTTCACAAGAGCCATCCACTTACCCATATCCTGAGCCAGATCGAGGCATTATGTGATATTTTGTAACAGGCTTATATTTGTGATGAGGAGTTGTTAGCCCCACGCCCAACCCCAAGCTGGAGGACCACCCCTTATCGGGTGTCAGCGACTGATTACTTAATATATTCGCAGTTATTCTTCACACCTAGAGGCCGTCTCCTCCAGCCACAATCTGACAATACCGTAGTGACAAGGAAACCATTTAACATGGAGAACTTAATTTCACTCGGTAGCCAGGTTAGCTTAGTCGGTGGGGCGACTAGCAGAATACATGACGGAGGAGCGTTGCTCTAATCCTAGTGTGGACAAGAGAGTTTCTTCTGGTCCATAAGGTTCACACCGGCTCCTATACAAGGGGCAGCAAATTTGTTTCCCCGGGGGTAAAGCAGTAGGGGCGTGAAGGTGACCACTCTGCTTCATGTAGTGCTCAAGTTAAAGAATGGTGGAGCTACAAATCCACTTCCTCATTCGTCTTCATGGCTTGTGCTTAATTAACTAATCCCAAGCATAACTATACCTTTACCTTAATTTTCCATAATTATTAATAAGAACATAATGTACGCGGAAGACAAATTGACAATCACTGGAATGAAATGGAAAAAGTAACAAGGACACTTATTGCTCTTAAATAAGTTTGTAAAAGCCAAGTGTACAAAAGCATACTTTCCATAACTCAGCAGCCTATGTATGTATATAGAAATATGAAGATTGGCTTCGCCTCTCTTCTCCACATGTAACTTCTCTCTCTGTCTTGTTGCTCCCAATTTGGAGCATAGGGCATATGTGAAACGCTTTCTTTCACTTCAGTTTTTTAATCATAACATAGTCGGTAGGATTCCTTAAACGGGGGATCAGCCCGTCGCAAGACCGCTACCAACAAACGACAACACAAAAACATTATAAACACAGACATACATCCAGGTCTCGAGTGAAATTCGAACCCACGATCCAAATGTTCGAGCGAATGAAGACAGTTCATGCCTTAGACCGCGCCGCCACTGTGATCGGCCATGTAACTATTATGTATTTACATATTTACAGAAAAAATAGTAAAGAACTTAATATACCAGTATTAGTTTGAAACAGTAGAGGTAGAAGTGGGCGGTCGTGAGGCAGGTATAAGTACTCTTTCGGCATTTGCGTGGATAGAGTCAGGAATATTATGAGTAATCTCGCTCAGGAAAATTAATTTTGGGGCCCATAATTGAATTCTGGACCTCCTAAATGGCATGGGAAGAGCGTGGTAAATGTACTAAGCACCACGCCATGAAGGGATATAGATGGAGTGGCGATTAAACTGAATGCATCTTTAATGGAGGTCTCGGAAAGAAGTCGAACATAGAGGACGAGGGCCCTCGGGAGGTCTTTGTCTCTGCTGCCTTTCTCAGCCCAAAACGACTCTTCTAGCGAACGTTATCACTTGGTTATCTCCATGAGGAGAATAACTTGACAAGTGGGAGAATGAGGGAATAGGCCGGAAGCGGGAACGTAACAGCTTGACAGAAGTATGGAAGAGACCGCACCACGGAAATTCTTCGTGGTTTCAGTACACCTGAAGGTGAGCTAGAGGTCAGTCTGGGTGATCCAGCAGCTCTACCTGCTGCAAAATAGTTCCTGGTAGATACCGAATAAAAGGCCGCGCCATAGCTCAAGCGGTTAGTCGCTGGCTTCCCACCGCGGCGGCCCGGGTTCGATCCCGGGTCTGGTCAAGTGGGATTTGTGGTGGACAAAGTGGCGCTGGGACGGGTTTTCTCCGAGTACTTCATAATAACCCGGGGCAGGTACAATAGGCCAAACAGTGGCCGCTGTACCGAGTGGACCCAGCTGGACTCCATCCCCCACTAAATTACTGGATAAAAGGTTGCGTACATCTGAGGGCCCGGATGGAAGTTACGAACAAAATAAAGCTCCTCCCCCGATTGGGGTGTCTTTTTACTGAGCTTTTTCGGTTTATAGAAAGGAATCAGGAACAGACAGAACTGACTGAAGAGTATTCGTTCCCGAAAAACTGTCTGTCTAATCAGTCTAATCTATCTAGATACTCAGCCTAATCAGTGTAATCTTACTTATGGAACTGAGCCCTTCTTGAGGAACAGCCAAATCTGTAGCTACTCAAGAATTTCCCAGCATTTTATGGAACCCAAAAATTCATTCTCGTGTTCACAAGAGCCCTCCACTGGTCCCTATCCTGAGCCAGATCAATCTAATCCATCCCATCCTATCTCTCTAATATCCATTTTAATATTGTCCGCCCACTTACGCCTTTGTCTTCCCAGTGGTCTCTTTCCTTCTGGCTTTCCAACCAATATCCTATATTTATTCCTCTTCTTCCCCATTCGTGTTACATGCCCTGTCCACCTCATCTTCCTTGAAATCGGCCTAATCAACCTAACCTAATCTTATGTTATCTACGCTTGTATGTGCCTACCTCACTATTATGTATGGTAACTCATACCTGAGTTTTTATACAGAAATGTGTCATGCAATGTTCATTTCAGAATGAGAAAGACCTCATCGGTGGTTTGTTCCGTGGTAGCTGTGTGTCTTTGCTTCATGCAGTCATGTACAGCGAGAGAGATCAGGCCATTACCACAAACGAATCGTGCATATGAACAATTAAGGAAATTGCTGCTGTCGGCCATTAAGGATGCTGCACCTCTAAAGCGAAATGTAAGCCACAACTAAATCAGAATATTATTAAAGTCGTTACATTATAAACACACCTTATATTTTGGGTATTTCTGAGACAAAGCCTTCTATCTCCAGGAAAGCAGATTTATTCCATCATTTGAAGAAAGAATTGACGAGGAACATTATTGTTTAAGATAAACAACAGGCCGTGAAGACCCATAGGGTTGTGAGACATCGAGGCCCCCAAATTTTCTTTAGACAGTCGGCTCATAGATGGCGGTGAGGATGTCAGCCTTACGTGTCAGCCATCCTTTACCACCCAGGAAGATTCCTGGTACTCATTTCTGTTAGAGGCTGAGTAGTCGCCAGGGCCATAGTGCGGCTGAAAGGATTAGGTCAATTGAAAAATTCTGTGACTTCATCGGAATTCAAACCGACGACCTTCCGGCTCAACGAACCACGCTACCGCGTGACCTTTATTATTTAAGACACGTTTATATTATATTTTATGCTTACAATTTGATGTTACCTTTCTTTATAAATTGATATACATAAGTAGGCGATTGACATTTTCGGCAGTTCCTTTGAAGAAAGTTTTACGACCTCCTGCCGCCTATGGGCGGGGGGGGGGTGCAGCTGTCGTACAAGACGAAGACAGATGTAGGAGGACAACTCGGACTGAAATCTAGTGAAGCAAGTTTTGACAATGCGGACTGCATTTAGAATTGTTAATTTTCTGTGTTAGCAGTGCTGTAACATCTGTTCAGTCCATTTATTTTGAAAAATGTGTCTACATCTGTCAAGAAATCTCGTTCTAACGCAGAAATGAATGATTACAGATTTAGGACCTGCTCATTCCGTATGGGTGAGTCAAGGCCGATTCACGTTGGCCACAAGGACAGGTTCATGAGCGGACCCACAGTCAGTCCGAGTATTCACAGTGACCTGCGCCGAAGACCCGCCCTTATCCACGACGCGCAGAGATCTAGGTTACGGGCAGTTCCTGACCTACAGAGACAGATCAGCACGTAGGAACGAGCAGTCTACTGACTTTGACCGGCATAAAGACCAAAATATAATTAAAGTTGTCCTCGTGCTTAATTAATTAAGGACAATGCCTGTACATTAGATGGAGGTGAATGATCGATTTCACACCCCACTCCTTTTACTTCAGTGGGAATAATCTCCCTTGGGTAGCTCTGCATAGGGGGCTGGGTGGGCGGAGCCGGTCTGGGTGATATGAATGTGAACAAGATAGTCTCTGTAACGGCTGGGAACAGTCTCCAAGCCCGTAACCTGGTCACTGTACTGACTGAGCTACGCCGGCCGATATAGCTGCTGTATGACACAATTGTTCTGAAGCACGGCTCAAAATAAGGCTTCGATTTCTTTTCTTGCCTGATTGTAGCAAGATTAAATGCGGTAACGGTTTATCAAAGTGCGGCCGGGGAGTAAGGCTGACAACTTTACATCTGTGAGCCGATTGTCTGGATAATGTGGGAGACATGAAGTCTCACAAGGGACTTCACGGCCTGTTACAGGAATAGCTTTACCGTTTACCTTAACAGGGATATAAAACCAGAATACTGTTTTCAGGGTGCAAAATTCCAAGAGCCCATTCCGGGAGGAACTCCGTTCCCCTGCAATACCGGGCCCGGATCGCCCGGAGCGAGGTCCCCCATACGCCCCACTACTGTGCACAAACTCCGCCCCGGAGATATTGACGTAGTGGGCGCAATGGGCGACAGCATCACTGCCGGAAACGGGGCAGCCTCTCTCAATATGATGCAAGCTTATGTGGAGAACAGGGGCTTGTCTTTCGCCATCGGTGAGAAGGGCAAAACAAACTCGCCCACCAAGAAACTGAATGATAAAATGAATACCTGACACCAACCAAACACCAATAACACCTTAAGTGGGCCAAGTAAGGGCAAATTAGTCTATGCTTAATTAAGCAGAGCACTATGAAGATGGATTGGAGACTGGAGGTATATTTCCAAGCATATTAACCTTGGCACTACTTGGGAGTGAAGATATTCACACTGTACCCTCAAGGGTAGAGCCCCATTTACCCAATGGACACAGGGGTTGGGTGGACCCCATAACCGTTCTGAACGCTGCGGAGGATAGACAAAATCTTTGTTTCCTGACTATGAACGTGAAAAAGCCGACTCATTAATGTCTCAGTACGCAGGCGCATAGGGAAACTGACGGTCGCAGAGGCAAGCAACTAACAGCCTGACCAGCCACGAATAGAAGATTTCAGAATTCTACATTAAATGCTTCCAGTGCAGTGAATTATTGAGAATGAAGCAACATTAACTCCATTAAATAGAGGATCACAAAATGGGCGTGTTTCGGCAGTACTCAGAACCGCGTCACTTCGACTCACTTGAATTTCTGTACTTATTTACTCTTATAATATTTAATCGGCGTTTAAGCAAGTGATTGCGTAATTGTTTTTTGTTGATACTGGTCACTGTCACTGTCAGTGTCACTGTAGTTGTTACGTGAAACATGTTCAGAAGAAATATTTTAATCACGTCCCAAATTCTGATCTTCCATGAGCTGAGAATTGTGAATGCAGCATAAACCACTGACAATGAAATTAATCTTCATTAAAAGACCAGGTTATATCTGAGCTAACAGATCTGGTTTTACTGCTGTATTCCAGGCCCATGCTCTTAGAATCTAGAGAACTGTCTGCCTTTATTAAACGTGTACGTGTGTTTCCTCGGCCTTTCGAACCGGAAAACCCTCCGAAGTTCATGTCGGTCTTTTCCTACACTATTCTTTCTAGTTCCTTGTGCAGGGGATGGTCATCTCTAACTTCATTTGTCCCTGCCAACCACGAAACACGGCTTTACGATATTCAGACTCCTCTACCTTCTTTCAGTTCTGAACTGAAACTTGTTACAGTAACAAGCATTACAACTTTCACTCTGATTTGGTGCATTTTGGAGTTGAGATAGGTCAGTCAGTATAGCGAGTGGCCACGGGCCAGACGGCCAGGAGCTCGGTTCCCGAAGGGGAAAAGAGACTTTTCTCTCCTTCACGATGTCCAGACCGGCTCTACTGTCCACCCAACCTCATATCAAATGAATACCTGGAGTTTTTCTCTGGGTTTAAGGAGGACGGGGCATGAAGCTGATCACTCACCACCATATAGTACCGATGGCCAGAATGATGGAGCTATACCTCCACTTCTCATGCGTCTTCTTCGCGTGTTACTTAATTAATTAAGCACGGAAATAATTTTGCATTTACTTTCCGCTGTATTGTAAATTCCGATTATAGTATAACTTTATGCAACAATTATTAATAACAAATATATTTATAACACACGTATAACAAAATTAGTTATTCGTCAGTTAACGTCATTACAAATAAAAATTTGTTTTGTCTCCTTCCAGAGAATTTATACTCGTATATATAAGTTTTCAGCTGTAATGCAACATTTCAAGTCACTGTATTGACTGGGGGTGGGTTGTTCTCACCCCGCAAATTCACACACAATGGTAATAATATTGCTGGTGTCGAAGTTAAAAGTACCAAGATAGAGAAATCTCGAACCCTATGACGTTAGAAATGGACGTTACCAAAATTGCGTAATCAGTAGCAGCAATGACGATTTGGGAAGCAAAATGTGTCCGAATGTTTACAAGAAATATGGATAATTTCATGTATGGTTTCATGCAGACTAGTTCCAATTATGCATCAGCATGGCTGAAAATTGCAGCTGTCCAACAACTATTATGAAAATTCATCTGTACAGAATTTCAACAATTTCTGCGAAACAGTTTAGGGAGAGAAAGAGGAGTCCATTTATGATCCTCTGTAAACCAAGCTTCATTGCTGATCAGTTTGGTTGGAAGAAGGAATTTCTCAATAACATTTAGTTAAAGTTTCCAATTTTAGAAAATTTGCCCGAAGTTGTGAGCACTAGATCACATACAGAGAGACAAAGAGATGGACAGACGCTACCTCTAAGTTGATGTTCCTGTTTCACATGTAAAGAACGCTTTAAAACGAAACTGAATCCATTACCAGAAGCCTCAGCACTATGCCTGTTTTCGTAACTCGTTATAATCTTATAATCAGAAAAAAAGGGTTTGGAGAACTGCCAACAGATTGAATGCATGTTTCGCTGCCTAAACACTACATGATGGGTTTTTCTTTTTCGTTTGGCATATATTGCAAAATTATTATACACAGCGTTTACAGCAGTGTACATCAGTAATTACAAAGTGACTGTCAATGTTACGTGAAAAAGACCAAAGGTAGCCCTTAGCTTTGATAAGTTCTACGCGAAGCTTACAGTTAAACTTCTGACTGGACACGTGATGCTTTTCTTTTGTCCCAGGCGGAGAATCGACGTGGCGGAAATACTTGACTCTGCCGAATATTCTTAAAGAGTTTAATCCTAAACTTGTGGGCTATTCTTTGGGAGATTCTCTGGGCTTCATGAACGACTCCAAGTTCAATGTGGCAGAGCCTATAGCAATGAACAGGGACTTGGTGTTCCAATCGAAGTTACTGATACGGAGAATGAAGGCTGATCAAAATGTCGACTTCTACAAGGACTGGAAGGTATGGTTATTAGACAAAGTGATCTACTGAATTTGAGGTCAATGTCATGCACATGACTTAAGGCAAGATACAATATTTTGTAATAATCATCATCATCATCATTATCGTATTTGTCGTACTTGGACGGACGTCTTCTTAGGCGTTGTATTTCCAATCCCTTCTGTATCCTACCCACGCTTCCCCATGTATTTATCTCCATATTTAGAAAGTAAAAGAGAGGTCAGCTTACTTTGAAGTCGGAAGTGCCTGTGAGTTTGTGAGACAGTATCAGCGCCTAACTAACTGGGCTGATTTTGTTAAATACGACATTGAAAACTTTATCTAAAAAGTCGCATAGAAATTCCGATTTTCTGACATTGCTCCGTAAGAAAAACCTACTAAGATCATAAGGCAGTGCTATGGCTCAGGCAGTTAGTCGCCGACTTGCCACTGCGGTAGCCCGGGTTCGAGCCCGGGTTAGGTAATGTGGGATTTGTTTTGGAAAAAGTTCAGCTGGGGCAGGTTTTCCCCGAGTACTTTGGTTTCCCCTGCCAATTCTCACTTAACCACCTGCTGCATATTCATCATCATCTATCATCTGGGGCTGGTACAATACACCAAATAGTGGCCGACATACCAAATGGAAGGGGCACACGGTAGCGTAGTTGGTTGAGGCACTATGGTACAAGCCAGAAGGTAGCGGGTTCAAGTCCCGATGAGGTCATTGGATTTTTCAATTGATCTAATTCTTCCAACCTCACTATGGCCCTTGGGTTGACACAGCCTCTAACAGAAATGAGTACCAAGAATTAATTAAATAATTTTCCTGGGGAGTGAAGCGCGGCCGGCGCGTAAGGCTGACAACCTTACCGCCATCTTTGATCCGATTGTCTAGATAAAGTGGAACCCTCAACGTCTCATAACCCTATAGGCCTTTACGGCCTGTTACAGGGATAGCTTTACTTTACTTTACTTACATACCAAATGGACTCACCCCAAGAAAAAAAAGTAAGGACACAAAAAGATTTTCTACATATATTATAATCGATTGGTTACATTTCTGCAAAAAAAAATATATATATATGATATATGCATAGTTTGCCACTGTATACGATAGCTCTTTGCATATAATTAGTCGGTCATCTTGATTGATATTCATATTGACGGATTGCAAGGCCTGCCATTGAAGTATCGCTTACCTGTTTATTCCGATACTGCGTATCACAGTGCCCCGGATGTATCAGCTCTGCACTCTTTTGCATAATTCATTTTGTGGTTTATTATAAATCTGTTTAAGATTCGACCGCAAAGAAGCCTGACAAACTGCAGAGACCACTGCTGGAAATTTTATATACTACGGTAAGGCGTGCCAACTTTCCGGTGAAGTTTATGTGCCTCCGTATCCGTAACTTAGTCACTTTGAAGGGGTCGCGCCATAGCTCAAGCGGTTAGTCGCTGGCTTCCCACTGCGACGGCCCGGGTTTCGATCCCGGGTTTGGTCAAGTGGGATTTATGGTGGACAAAGTGGTGCTGGGGAAGGTTTTCTTCGAGTACTTCGGTTCCCCTGCCAATTTTCACTCCACCAATTGCTCCACAATCACCATCATCTATCATATTGTGCTGGTACAATAGGCCAGAAGTGGCCGAAGTACAAGGGGCTTAGTCCCACCCCACTAGCAATAAAAAAAATAGTCACTTTGAACAGTTGTCTCGCAATATAGTGTGACATAACTATTTAAATATTGTCCGTTTTGTGGTAACGACTGGGATAACACGTAACACTGCCTAGCCCATTGCTAGGCAACGGCCGCAACAGTAGTTGAGGAAATTGTTAGAAATGTTGTTAACATGGCGGAGACCAGGAGGATTCAGGGATCTCTACTAGATACTGAAAAGAAAGCAACTGTACTCAGAGGTGCTACATGACTTGACGGCAGACCTCAAACAGAGCGCTGCAAAAGGGAAGACAGCCAAGACCACCATTACTGCACCTCCATCCAAAGAGGAATTCCACGAGAAGACAAGATGAATGCAGAAACCTTCAGGCGAATCCGACAAAAGAGGCGAGAAATAAGCAACAGCAGCCATAACAGTAGACAGAAACTCCCAATTGTGGAAGTTCTTCGCTCCATAAGTTAAAGGTAAAGTTGTTCCTGTATTTAACCAATAAAGCACTACGCCATGAAGGCGTATAGGGGATTAGATGTATAAACCCACATTTTCTTGATCTCGACAATAGTTGGAGGTGAGTGGCCAGGTTGACGCCCCGGTCGCTTTGCCCCCGGTACCCATTGGATAGGAGGTCGGGTGGACACCAGAGCCGGTTTGGACGATATGGAGAAATGAAAATTCTTTACCCCACTGGGACTCGAACTCAAACCCCTCAGTCGCCTAGCCCGTAGACAGTTGTTATACCGACTGCGCTATCCGCATGTCAACTAAAATGAAGGCTGACCACGGAGAAGACCGTGACGACACCATTGAGGGTCAGCAACAGTAGGAGCCATCCAGCTAGGCAGCTAAAGCAGCCTCCTATGGTACTAACCTTTACAATGGCAACGGCAACTAAAGGGCTTACTGAAAGGTAACCTCGTGTTCCGTAGCGCCAGAAACTGGGCTAGAATTTCCACGAAAGGAATGGCTCTCCCTGCGAGAGATATAACCTGCTACAGTTTACCTTCTCTCCCAAATCTCAGAAGTCTATAAAGGCTGTAATGTCGAAACTTCCATTCACGACCCCTAAAAAGAACATCTCACATGAGTGGGTGGATCTGCTTTGACGTTCTTGGCACAGAACAAATGTCAGCCACCCGTCAATCACCTGCGGAAGTAAAATCTACACTAAATATTCCCTATCTTCCTCATACGTACAAGAGAGAGAGAGAGGGATTGCCGTACTAGGAGGCCTCAGGGAATCAAAAGAAGTAAGCAGAAGGACTCCACATTCTTTTCCATTCTTCTTATCTGATTGGTTCGCTCAGGACGTCTAGTCCGGCCGTCTCTCTCCTTATATTCGCATGGCCCAGTCGCAATCGACTTTAATAGAAGCGACAGGGGTCTGCATACCAATCGGTAACAGCGAAGAGCTGCTTGCAGCTGTTTACAAATCTCCAGGCAAAGCCTGGAGTGATGCTGACATCACTGAGCTCTTAAGCTTCAGACGTAAGTCTATTTTGGCAGGTGATCTGAATGCTAAGAACCCATTTTGGAATAGCAGAGTTTCAAACCCCTCAGGCTTGAAACTCGTTGATTTATTTGATAGGAGTGATTTCGAAATTTCAGCACCACAGTGTCCCACTCATTATTCCCCTGCGGGAAATGGTGACGTGCTAGACATTGTGGTTCACAAAAATATCAGAGTGTCAGATGTCATCGTCTCTGATATTTTGGACTCAGATCACCTACCAAAAGTATTCCACATACTGGATCACGTTAAAATTAGGAATCTTTCGGAACCCATTGAAAAATTTACAGATTGGGAGCGGTTTCAAAGCCTCGCTTCTGAATTAATATCACCTAAACTAGAAATTAATTCGGGGGTAGAAGCCGATAAAGCGGCACGCGACTTTGCAGCCTCTATTGCTTCGGCATATAGGCTGTCGACAAGTAAAGTTACACTTTCGGACATAAACAACGATCTTCCTGGTCTAGATCGTTTGATAAAATATAAACAGAGGCTACGAAAACTGTGGCAAGAAACCAGGGATCCAGCGTGTAAAACGGCAGTCAATTGGGTCACCAAATCAATCAGGCGAATGACCCGTAAAAAGGCACTTGAACGGTGGGAAACAAAAATAAGTAACGCTGAAGTCACACCTCAGTGTATATGGCCCATTGCGAAATCTCTCCTTCAGAGAGACGGACCAAGGGCACCAACTGCTATTCATGGTTCTGCTGGCTTAAAATTTCATCCCTTTGAAAAAGCCAACGAAATTGCCAACTGTTTGGAAATTCAGTTTACGCCACAAGACTTGTGCGATGAAAACCATGAAGAGCGGGTGGAGGCTAGAGTACAAGCTCTGCTGGAAGCCGTGGATGAAAATCCCCCTCTAAGGATCAGACCATGTGTCGTTCAGAAATTAATAAAATCCCTGAAATTAGAAAAGGCCTGTGGAATTGACGGCATCCCAAATGAATGCCTCAGGCACCTTCCAAGGAGACCATTGGTTCACCTAACTCACTTATTCAATCACTGTTTTCGGCTCTCTCACTTTCCAAATACTTGGAAGGAAGCAAAAATAATAACTTTACCTAAACCGGGTAAAGACCCGAAATTTCCGCAAAATTTACGTCCGATCAGCCTCCTGTCCACGACAGGAAAACTATTCGAACAAGTAATTTTGAAATTCCTCCGTAAACACATTGAAGAAAGAGGTTTGCTCAACGCAAGTCAGTTTGGTTTTCGTGCACGTCACAGCACGACATTGCAATGTATGAGGCTGGCGGACCACGTGACCCTTAATTTCAACAA